ATAGAAATGACCTATGTGCCAATTATTACTTCTGCATACGTCTTTAAACTTGCACTTTATGTATTTAGTCTTAGTCCAATTCAATCTAAAACCTTTTAACTCTAGAGTTTGTGTTCAAACCTTCAATCTATCGCTAACTCCATTATACGTATCTCCAATTAATACTGTATCATGTACAAGTAATATATCTGATAACTCTACTTAAATATTACATGTTAGTTTATTCATCACCCAAATAAATAAGAATAGGCTAAGAATTGATCTTTGATACACTAATAGGATATACACAATATATGTGTGCATACAGAATTGTGCCAACAATTTTGAAATATGTATATCAATGTATAGTTCTTATAAAATGTAAAATATTAGTATTATATTTTACATGGGATAGAGCTTAAAATGCCCTTCAATTATTTGAATTAATACAAAATTATTCTTTGTCCATCTTTCTGCCCCCAAGTACCCCTGACGTCAATATTTTGACTAAAAAATACCCTTAATTCTAACGGCCCACGCTCATAAGGTCGATGAGAAGGCAATATTGTATCAAATTCCATGGTTTAATGATATTTTAGATCCTCATCCGTTAAAACAATTTGAAATTACTTAATATATAGGCTCATATGATTGACCTAATTTTGGGTTCCATAATAAAAATCACATCCCCTTCACTCTCTCTCTCTCTTTCACTTTTTTTCTCCTTGGATCCATTTTAAATTTTAATTTCTTAACTTAACTACATAATCACTACCATATATACTATATTTACCTCTAGTTTAAAACTATTACACATACTATCACTTTTAATATTTATACCATATATTTTTTTTTAAAATTAATCAGATACACAAATCTCTTAAATATGGTATTAAATAATTATCTTAAATTTAAACTCCTTAATTAATGATTGTTAATAAGTTAAAAAAAAATCTACTCACATCTACCGCTTCCCCCACTCCCCACGTCCAGCAACCCTCTTTCTCGTTCATCTTCTCCCTCTTTCTTCCTTCATCCTCTCAATACATGTTCGCATGTTCAAATCAGCATTATACATACAGATAAATTAATTCTACATTACCTATCCTGGTGTGTAATTATTTAAAATTTATTAAATATAAATTTAAAAAATGATTCGAATTATATTAAAGAGCAACTTTCACATATAGCAAACATAAAAATCATATTTGTATGTTATAGCTATAGTTTGCATAATTGCGTTCCATAGCAAATTTTATGTTTGCTATGGAGCTTTTGATTTGTATAATTCGCTACAAACATCCAATTTTATACAAATTGTTCAGTTTTGTATAAATTCATTTATACATTGTACTTTGTATAATAAGATCTGTATTTGTACAATTACAAGTGTATAGGACGAAAATATATGTATTTGTATATACACTTTTCTCTCGTTTTATACAAACACAAATGCATTTATATATTTTATACTGAAATGTATAAAATGGCTAATTGTATACCAAAAATGGTTAATTATATATCGAATCAGATGACAAAAAAAGGAGATGTTTGCTGCGAATTACAATTAAAATAAACTATGGCTATAACATTTAATTTGAATTAATAGTTTGTTATTTCATACAATTTTTTCTATATAAATTCATAAATATAATAGTCCAAATAAATATTATGGATTAATATAATTGGGTTAATTAGTTAAGTCCAATAAATAAGTATTTCATCAAAGTCTAAATTAAATGATTTGAGCTACAATAGATGAGCCAAGTTTGCTAAGCCCAATTTCATCTCATCCTAGAGGCCCATTTTTTGTGTCACGTGGTAAATGATGTGGCATGTCAAGTCAAACAGGAAGCCAATAGGATCATGACATGTGTCAAAATGACAAGCCCGCTCCATAAATCTCATATGTCATGTAACTTAAATTTGATTGGTCGAAGGAAATCTTGTTCCAATCACAACTCTTCTACTCTAAAACTATAAATAAGAGTCCTCATAATTCAAAAAAGGGACCAAAAATTCTAAACAAGAAGCTAGAGAAAGCCGTCGTACAAACGCCACAAAATTCTCTATAAGCTACAAGTTTAAGAATTCAAGCATTAAAGTTCAAGTACGATCCAGATCAAGACCATCGAATTCAAGAACAAACTCGAAACCCTTGAATTCAAGTAAAAGTCAAGATCAAGATAAAGTTCAAGTTCTAGTTCATCGAAGATTCAAGAACAAGCTTTAAAGCCCTTGAATCCAAGATCAAGTTTAAAACAAATTCAAGATCAAGCTCAAGAGCTCTTGAATTTATATTTGAAAAGGCGAATTCTGAGAAATCATAGAGATTGTAACACTCGCACTTTAAAATAATAAATACGATTGTCGCGATATTTTTCTGTTCTTGATTATTGTTTTCTCGCCGCGAATTTTACTGTCTACATGGTGATAATTATTATCCTGAAATTATTATTTTTATTCTGGGATAACTTATCGTGGGATAAATTATCCCACACTTTGCAATCAAATAAAAAATTGAGGGGTACTAAAAACTTATCCCGAAATTATTATTTTTATCTTTCACACCAAACAATCCGTAATAGATAAATTAATTCTAAAATTTTGTTTTGTTTTATTTTCTAGCTTTACATGTAATATTTGTAAACGTTGCACATAACATGTAACTTAATAATCAATAAGTTAATAGTTACCTAACTCGATCGATTCAAAATGATAGTTAAGCTGGGGCCTAGCACTTGCTTATTTAAAAAAAAGTTAGTGTACATATTCTCATAAACCAAACGAAACCAAATGAGCAAGATCACTCGTAAGAAATGATCGTAAAGACGTAAACATCATTTATGTCGGACTAATTGAATTTATCTGTAAATTTTATTTAGATATTTAATTTACAATTTGTTTCAGCTGATCATCTAAACAGATTATAAATTTTTTTTATTAGACACTTTCGATTCAAATATTTAAATTTTTTTGCAGATTCTCAAGAAAAAATGTTTTTTTTTTATTTCCGTGAGGCATGTTGTAAATGTTATATCCGACGTGGTCTTGATTATCCAGAACCGGTGACCGTTAATGTCACAGGCGGTAGGCGGGAATATTTTTATGCTTACAATAAACCCCTCGAAAATTAAGTTAGTTACTCAAAACTAACACTCCATTTCGCTCCGACGAAACACACTCGCACACACCTTGAAATAGCGGAAATGGACGAACCCGACGGCCCGTTCGCCGGGATTATCAGGAACTGTGTCGATGCTGCCGATGAAGAGGAGCTTCGTAACTGTCCGTTCACTGTGGAATTTGAGAACTTTCCTGAATCCTTCACCGCACAGTCGTCATCACTGGTCCCGTCAAAACAATTCGGAATTATCATGTTATCACTTCAAGTTGCCGACTCAATTGACCAAAATTCCACCCGTAAAAATGAAGGATTTCAAACTCCTCCAGAGAACCACAATTCTCAAACCTGTATCTCCGGCTCCGATGATCAGAGACCTAATACGGTTACAGCCGTGGATTTACCGGCTAATGTTTCCGCTGTCGAATACACTGCGGTAGATTACGGTGATGGTACGGAGGTTCAGGTTAGGGTTGATTTGGGGAAGGATAAGGACAATCTAGGGTTTTCAAAACCCCGAGAAATTACAGTAAATAGGTGTCATGGAGGTGACGGATCGGAAAGAATTGACGAAGTTGAGTATTCAGAGGGTGATATTGATGAACCGTTAAGGAAGAGAATTAGGATTTGTGAGAAGAACTTGGGTGGTATGCAGAGTTCAATTCCACAAATCTTGGTTGATATAGACGCTGAAATCACAGATTTAGAAGTTGAAGAAATTGTGCGAAATGAAGTAGTTGACAATAATAGAATAAAGAGAACTGTGGATTTTGCAGTAACAGAGTCTGAAGATGGTGAGAACCATGTTTTTCATGGAAAAAAACATGCAAATGGGATAAAGGAAAGCTGTACGGCTTGTGCCGATGGAAGCATTAGGGGAAACCGCGAATTGCCATTATGGATGAAGGGAGGAGAAAAGAATGGGAAAGTGGAGCATGTTGGAAGGAAGGCAATGAAGGAGGAGCAGTTCAAAGACATTATAGAAGTTACAATGGTGGCTTTTGGGAACAAGAATGGCGAAAACAAGGATGCAGACTTTTTTGAGACTGCTAAGAGGCGTGATATGCTTTTTCCTCGGCCTAGATGGTGGTCACCGGAGCTATTTGTTGATTGATTTCACTTTCGAAACCTACAATGATTGAAGAATGGACAGAGCCACTGCAGGTTGTCAATGGTACTTTAAAGGTGCCAGCTCTGGACACCTCGGGTATTTCAACGGGTACTTGCTACCACCCGCTAGCTCGCCAACCCTGTTCAATATATATGGTATTCTAAACTACTGGCTACTCCTTTGGTTTTGACTGATGTAAATTATGCACTGAAACTGTCCAAATGTAAAGTATGACCAACAGTTCCATAGAATCAAACCCCATATGTATTAAGAAATTTACTAAATATGTATAAATATTAAATTTCGAACCTACTCAAATGGTTGGACAACTCAATAACATCCCGAAAAACCATAAAGTTCAAATCTTGAATCCATCATTGGCTGGTAGCTAATGATGTAAGACATTCTCACAAGCTTCTAAGCAAATTTCAAATTGAGATACGTTGTTGCCTATTTGTTGGTGAATCTTCTTTTTTCCTTAACATACAAATTTTACAATTCTGCTATCCAAACTACTAATGCGAAAAAAACAAACCATTGTGTAGGGTAAAGTTTGCATACGCTCTATCCTCCCACACCCCCACATGTGGGATTACACTGGGTATGTTGTAAACAAACCCTTGTGTGGTTCTCTTGGGGCAAACTTCCTAGTCACCCTTCATGCTAATTATTGGCATACTTGGAAGGAGCAAGGAACTCAGTTCCCTCCTTTTCGAAATTTGAATTGCCTTTGGAAGAAATAACTTTGTCATCAACAAAACCAACAGATAGAAAGGCTGTCCCCAATTTAAGTTGAAAAACTTTACTGCATACAAGTGCTGGACATTACCATCTTCCCCACATTTCCAGCTATATTATACAATGTTTGTCTATCTTTACAGAAAGAAAAAAAAAAAGGGTAAACAACCATATCCATCAGCTAAATCCAAAATTTTGTTTAGCATAGCTCAAAGGGGAAACATAAACAGCACAACATCCAACTCTTTCAGCAAATCACCACATGATTGGTGAGGAACATGCAGACACAATCATCTGGTTTGGCTGAAGTAGCTTCTAGATGCCCTATGAAAATGCAAACTGTGATACTACCACTAGGGACGTACAAGATGTGGATACACAGAACTGCTACTGGTGCTTGCTTGTGCAGTAAAATTAGATGTTGGTCGGAGGAGTTCTGCCTGCGCAAAGGAGCTGTTGGATGGCACATCCAGTAGCACGTCCTGGTCATTTGCAACATGGAAAGAATCCAGCACAGGAGAACTATTAGAAGGCAAGGGAAATAGGCACTTCGGACTGAAGCAAGAGCTATTGTTGTCTACTAATTCCTTCTGCTCATAGCTACTTTTCATCACCACCCTCTTGGGGCTCTTCATTTCTTTCTTTGCACCTGAAGCGAAATGGTCTGCAAATTATTTCCATATGAATCGATGATATTGTCAAAGTGCATACAGCGCATAGAGTTACAGAATTTTTTGTTACTTAGAGAAAAGATCTAGTATTACCCCCAACCCCACCCCAAGTCATATATGTGATAGACTAGACAATTGATGTATTATATAGAAACAATATTCCCACTTTTTTTTTTTTCCTTTTTGGTGGCAGGTAACATAGCCAAACGTGAGAGGGCAATGATTTTCTACTGAATAAGTTGCAATTCTTACCTAGATATCGGTCATGAATGTCACTACTTGCCTGTTTACAACTGGGATGGAAGGTCCATATGCATATAGTTTAAAAAAAGGGTGAGAGAAAGACAATTATCGAGATGAACTTTTTCTTTTCCCTATTTCCATCTTCCATTTCAATAGGTAATTTCTCTTAACAATTATCCAGCGTGAACCAAGCCCCCTCAAGACAGTAGGCCATGACACTGACCTTGTCTTACAAGCTATGTCACAAAATGCGATGCGTAAAATAACTAGTTAGAGGATTAGACACCCCATGCATTGCAATCTAGGACAGTAATAGACATAAGGGTACCCTCCACATCCAAGATATTCTACCACATCTCATTGTCTATGATGCTCAATTACTATCCCATGTAACCTATTCCTTTATCTGTTTCTTGCATATTACAATACCAGAAATAATGAATAAGCTAGAACCTTTATTGAGAATTGTTCAAACTTATTTAAGCCCTCATATCTATCTTCTTGTGCCATCTCTGCTTTGAGCACCCACACATGTAAATTCCATCTCCTCTCACAATCCTCAGGTAAATATTTGTTGTGGTTGAAACATAATTAAGTAAATAACAGTGTGCTCGAGCTCTCTCTAACAACTTCAACTTTTATATAAGATGGTCACACACTTCAACATGGTATGATGTTTGAGTCTCACCTCACCCACTAAAAAAAGAACCCACAACTGCTTGGTCCATTAAAAAGATCAGACCTCCACATGAGGGTGCGTGTTGAAAACATAATTAAGTAAACAAAAATGTGCTCTCTCTAACAATTTAAGTTTTTAGATAGATGGCTTCACACTTCAACGACTTTCAAGAGAACTAGTCAAGCAATTAAGAGGAATTTGTTGAATGCCATAACATTGTTAAAAAAACAAAAATAGAAAAAGAGAGGCACCAACCTGCATACTTTGGATGGTGCCCCTCCAGTGGCCTCTTCACATTTACTGAATGACCTGTCCCAATAGCATCGGGCCCTCCTGTAACTTCATAACCATTGGTACTACTTGAACATTTTGTGTCCTAACATAAACAAGATTAGCTTCAGTAAAATTGCACTATTTATTCAGAAAAAGTAGAATGTTCATAAAAAAACAGAAGACCAAACCTTGAGAAGGTTGTACTTTTCCACCCACTTTGACTTTGTTAAATAGCACAATATTAACCTCTTCAAGGTCCTAGAATCTTCTATTTTCACCCCTGACAATGAGCTATCGAAAACACCTTCTGCAAGAAGTTTCTGGAAGAAAGACAAATTCTCCTCAAAATGAGAGCTCTCGAACATGTTTTTGAGACTGCAGATAGAGAAACAAGAGAAACACAATCAGAGTTTGACGAGGATGAAGAAGGAGGACAAAGAGGAAGAAAACTTGATTCTTGCCACCCACTGAAATTGATTTAGTTATTAATAGTTCAGTGTTGTATATGTTATAAAAACTTCTGACAATTGAAAAGGATACGAATACAAAGTAAATTGTACAAACCTATCTGGGGGTGCAAAAGAATCAACAGGAGCTAAGTATTTTAGTAGTTGCTTCTGTTCATCAGTTGAGAAATGCGTCACGAACTCTTCATAATTAAGTACATCCTGAACCATATTATCATAATTATATAAGTTCTGAAGCATTGCACCAGAGTATTGCTTGGACCTGTACTGATAAGAATTAACAATTGACAACAGAGCCACAATCAAGTTGAACATTTGCCAAATATATTCTGACTTAGAGAGGAAGCTAATCCTTGCAAAATGCAAGATATATTTGCAATTCAAACATATTCAAATGATAATCAAAAGCAGAAAACCATTTTATATCTACAGACGAGCAAAATCCATGAACACAAGGAAATATTCTGGAATACGAAATGTATTCCAGATGCAAAGACAAGTGTGCCTTGTAGGAATTATTCCATTGTTATATTAGATGAAACTAAAAAATATTTGTAATGAAATCAAAAAGCAGCAACTGACCTTCAGGTCTATATGGCACAGTGGTGAAGTATGATGTCCAAGAATGTGCAATTTTTCAAGGTGATCCTTATCCCTGCATTTAAAAATAAAATCAGAGGATGGAAAGCACACATCAAGGCAAAGAGAATGGTTCTAAGCTCTTGGAATAATGGAATTATGGTAACCAATGCCACCACAAGCTTGAATTATGCCATCTGATGCCACCACAAGCTTACTGCACAATTAGTAATTGTAATGAAATACCATGTGGTCCAGAGCATGTGCTGGTCTGATTTATATATCTTCCTGATGCATATTGGATCTTTTGTGGAGCCACATCACAACTTACATTAACAGGATATTCATGCATTTAAAACCTCAAATCCATTTTCTTCCAGTCTAACACATGCAGCAGCACCTTTATTTCTCAAGACATTTTTGCATGCTATCAAGATTAAAGAAGAAAGCACCTTTTAATCTGGTGTTGTTCCATTCCCTGACTGTTAGGCTTCTTGGTTCTCTCCGTGCCAAGATTTGGTAAATTGACACCCCTATTAATATTTACAGGTGGGGTAGACAATCGTGAATAAGCCTCATTTACATAACGTCGCTTGTTATTAACCGACAGGGAACTGCCTTCTGATTCTTCTTCTCTACCTATTGAATTCGGATGTCGAATAAGCACACTTCCATGTCCAATCTCTACAGAGACCATAGGCTTGTCACTCTCAAAAAGCAAATCCTCTTCAGAAGATCCAGAGAAGTATGAAGATTGTTGTTCATGTAGGATGGTACACAGGTCTTTAGTGAGCTTTTCAACTGAAGAATGCTTTGAACGACTTATGCAGGTTCTCTTCCTTGAAGGCACCATTGCTTCCCATTTGTTGGATTGGGCAGGGCCTGATAGCACAATAAAGGGGGAAATATTTTATGAAGCCATAGAATCACCCAATTATGCAAGAATTCAGTGAGCGTTGTCTTCAACTATGAAGTGAAGGTTAGAATGAACAAGACAAATACAAAGTATAAACAAAGAACAGAAAAGAAAAGGCGAGAGAATGTATAACAAATGTGGTAGGGAAGAAGATACTATTCAAAGTACCTTCTGTGATTTGATTGAGAGAAGAAGAGAAAGGTCTAGATTTTACCACTAAGTTTTCACTAGAGAAGGTACTAACCCTGAGTGTAATATTGGTCATTCAATCAAAAGATGTAGAACATAAACTATGATCATCACCAAAAATGACAGCCTACAGAATATTTCAAGTAGCTCACGAGAAAAGATATACAGGAACATATCTACATCTTGATGAATCAAATAATTCAGTTCCAATATTGGTAATTCAATCAAAAGATGTAGAACAGAAACTATGAGCATTACCAAAAATGACAGCCTACAGAGTATTTCAAGTAGCTAACAAGAAAAGATATACAGGAACATGTCTACATCTTGACGAATCAAATAATTCAGTTCCAATATTTTCAAGCTTTTGTAGTTCATTAGCTCTGTTCCAATATCCAGTTTTTGTAGTTTGTTGTCTCTTTGGAAATAGAGCCTGCATTAATAAATTAATTACCTGTCAAATCACTTGCTTCAGTACTACCAAATTGTGCAGAGCTCTCAGTGTTAGAGATGGCGGATCCAGAACTTGACCTATTGCTTGTATCTTCATCTAAACCCTTAAGGAAACCCTGATAATAATCAGGAGGAGTTCTAACTACAGTATTATCATGATTTTGCTTTTGTTTCAACACCTTTGCCTCTTTGTTCTTCAAAGACATGTTTTTGACCCTACACACCCTATAATCTTCTAGATCATCAGACTCTGGTCGTGCATGCAGAGGAGTATAATTTGCCAATGTTCCTTTTGTTCTCCACCGAGATCCACATGCATTGCACAATATTGGCTTTTCTGGAGGCCCATTACGCCAAAGTGGGGTGCCTGCAGCAATACGCTGATGTTAAGAGTGTATTCTACATAGATACGGAGGGAAGAAAGAATGGCATCTGAGAATTGAAACTAGGAATTTCACACACATTACAAGAACATTAGCACACCCCTGCAATAATAATCTTAAATATGCAATGTAAATTTGATCACTTGGTTGTCTTTTTTCCATTAATTGGGGGAGGGGGAGGGAGATGAAGAGGCAAAAGGTTCTTGCATTTCAAAAGTATGGAAGAGAAAACAAGGATTTGTGAGAGAATTTCATTCAGAATTGCTTTGTAAGCCCATGAACAATCCCAAGAGCAAACCTCTCCTTTAAATGCAATTAACTCTATCAAAAACTTCAACTATTCTGATGTAAATGAGAGACCGAAAGTTTCTGTAGAAAAATCCATAAGTGTTGTAGTGGTCCAACTACGAAGCAAAAGTTATACTGGCAAAAGAGAGAACATCAAGGAGCAAGAAAACAAATCATGGAGTTGGAGCACAAAGGGCGCTTCTAAGCAATAACAGGGAAAAGGAAGTTTATTTGCCTATCATCTCATGGGCAATGAACACTGGAGCATGGAGTTTCCTTTTGAGAAAAGAAGAGAGTGGTATAGCTGGCTATTGCAATGCACCGTAATAGTCACTTAGTATGCAAATAAATGGAAAGATATCCAAGGTTTCTTTTTCAAAAGGCTCAACAGTAAAGGTAAAATTGATACTAGCAGCTGATTCCATATATTTTTAGAAAGAAAGAACAACAGGATAAAGCACATAAGTGATAATTGTTGTCAAGAGAAGTGAACTAAGGAAATTCTTCTTCATCGTACAACAAGACAACCAAAGGTCCAAACTTTTATAGAACAACTAAACCAAGTCTAGAACACCATAAATAGGAGCGAAAAACTGGATTGAATTTGAACATCAAAAGTCACGGCATTGCGTGGACTTCTAAAGACATTTGCTTTGGGATATTATATTACTAAAACAATGTGACATCAGTAAGAACTTCCTGTAAACCCAAGCCGAAGACATAGCTATAGGCAACCCACCAGTTTCTCACCTCATCTTCCGAAACATGTGTTACCTAGGTTGAGTACAAGCTAAAAAAGCTTTTCCTAATGTCAACTACTACTTTAAGTAGCACCAGCAATGGAGGGGAAAGCGAAACTTACCAAGTCTTTTCTTAGACAAGCTGAACTATGAAAGTTCCAAACGCGGTAGGTTATGCAGCAAAAGACGAGATAAGATTTCAAGAAGATATCACTTACAACGCTACTATCTTCGTGATGTGCTGCATCTGACTAGAGCAAATGAATATAGAATTTTTTTTTTGACAAAGACAAATGAATATAGAATATTCATAGCCGATTACAACAAGTTATCGAGTAGTAGGTGATTGACTTGATTGATTGATTTTGGTTGTTAAGAAAATATCATAAGTTTGTTAATGCAAGCATTTGACAATGTGAGGCCACAATTACAATGTTAAAGACAACCCAAGGAGGATAAACACTGATTAACATATCAACTTGAAACCAATGAGCTCATTTTGTGAGGTAAAGAAACACAAGAGAACACTACAAGCCTTTGATCAATGAACACTGATGAAGAATGTGCTACTGGCGCCTACTGCACCAGTGACTTGAATCCAATGTTTATATGAAAATATGAATGAGTAACAATCAATCCACATATATGCCTGAACAATCACCCTTCAATTATAACGATCAGTAACATGAACTTTGAAAAGACCAGTCATCGGTAGGCATTTTTATGATGTGTTCATTATTAGAGGAACTATAATGTCAAAGAGCAAGAATTTCATTGGCACGAAAAGTGACACCTGAGGAAGTACATTTTTCACATATAGAAAGGGAACAAGGAAAAGAAGTACAGGACGAAAGTTCGGGAACATCCCTAAATTACATTGACCTATGAAAACGAAACAAAAGTTATGCTATGTTCATGATTAATGGATTCAAATTCACCTCCATAATTGCCAGTTCTCCTCTAGATTCTTAGCAAGTTTTGAGCATACATATTTTCCACAAAGGAGTTGGCGGATTGGCTAGTACACAACATAGTGATGAGGGATAAAGAATGTTGGCAATAAACAGAAACCATTCAGAATCAAATTTCAACTCAAACCCAATAAACTAATCTAGAGATTTAAGTGAATACAACAACAACATACCCCATGAAATCCCACGAGTGGAGTCTAGGAAGGGTAGAACGCGCAGACCTTACCCCTACCTCATTGTGGTTAAGTGAATGTACGAGCAAAATAAACTCATACAACACATATCACTCATCAATTTTTATTGGTCAGTGATCTCTTCCCTTATGAAGCAACCAAACATATGGTCATCCAGTTCAATAATTGAACAACTAAACTAATCCAATAAAAGGAACAATTTTATAAGCTAAAAAGACTATTTTTTTCCTGAAGATTAATAAATTCATGAGAGAGATAAAATACATTGAATAACCAAGAACTCACTTGTAACACCACAATGATAGCAAGGTCCTTGCTTTCCCATCTGTTCAATTTCTTTTTGCCCCTTAATTCCAGAAAAATATAAAATTTCAAAGTTTTTTTTGTTTCCTTTAGAAAATTTCACAGTACTAATAAAATGAAATATCTATTAAATTTTCTTTTCAGTATCTTATATTTGGTATATATATGTTACTGGGTATCAAAGCTTTTCTACAATAAAAACACAAAAAACCCAAGAACATCAAGAACAGTCTGTAAAACAAAAGTCCCAGAAAACCCACTGCAAAAAGGCAGTTATGAACAGGTAAAAAAGGGATTAAAGATGGGATTTTTCTTTTCAGCTGAGAATTTGTACAATCCAATAAAGAAGAAAAATGGGTACTGAAATTTAAAGAAATTTTATGAACATTTAGGAAAAAGGAAGGTGAAATGTGAACGGAAAATGGGGTTCTTGTTGTTTTTGTAAATATAAATAATACTAGATGTTTTGGTTTCTTTTCTTTCTTTGGTGTTAAATCTTCTTGAAAAGTTCTAATCCCTCTTTATTTATTGGAAATAGAAATTAATTTTCTTTACTCTTTTTATCTTTGAGTAAATAAACTTTATTGTTTTAGGTATGAAGAATATTACTGCTAATGTCCTTGTTGACTACAGGTTATTCTTGATAATACCCGTTTAAAGTGTTTAAATTGTTTTTGCTAAGAATTACTCTTAAAGTAAGGATCAAGATTAGGATATTTTTAAGTTTGTTTTTTTAAAAAACAAATATATAGTATAAGATATTAAAAGGAATAGAAAAGTAATTGTAAGAAAACAAAAAACAGGAGAAAGAAACAAAGGAGTTTGTTTGAACCCTTTTTATCAACCCTCTGTATATACTGATTTGTGATAAGTAAGAACATCTATTCCGTTAAGTTTCAATTTATTTATCTTATTATGACTTAGCATAAAATTTTAAATTTTATGATTTTAAATATGTTTTTGTAGAAAATTGAAACTAAAATATTGTTTTAGAAAAAATATTTTTTAAAAATAAGATAAACAAATTATAAAACAGAAGAAAAGTACTGTATATTCCTATATGCCTTGTGATGACATGAGGTTGATTAGTTTAAGTTATCTTGCAAGTAGTAGGTCTTTGGTGCAATTTGTGCTTTAGTTATTGGTTTTCACTCTTTACAATCACAGCCACATTTTGACCATTAGATCTCTCCTCCTATAGAGATTATATAATTATGGGGTCCCACTCATTGGCATGCACTGACTAAGTTCTCATTTTTACTAAGTCTTCAATAAGTGGTTGTCAACATTTATGTCTCATATCATGTACTTGAGCCTAGAGAGTAGTGTGTTGTGAACATAGGAGAGTTAAAAAATAAAAAGTCCTTAATTTGGAAAAATTGCATATACTTTTACATGGTAAAAGAAGAAGTTACTCGGATGGCAAGCATTCTTCACTTCCAATCTAAAGGTTGTTAGTTCACCGGTGAAATAAAAAAAAGTAACAATACTTTCACAATAACGGGATAAAAAAATATGATACTTACAAAAGAACAAAATAAGCAACAGTGCATTATTATAAGTATATTACAATCAGACACATGGACAAGTTTGTCCCTCTTGTGTTAGTTTTAAAAGTTTTCTTCTGTTTTCAGTAAAGAAAAATAATCAGTTATAGAGCTGAAGCTGAATGTGATTACTGGAACAATAAACCCCTTTATGCTGGGATCGAAAGGAAAAAATCCCATTGGGAAAATGTATAATGTACAATAGGAAACATGACTAGCATGTGTAATTGAAGCAAACAAAAGTAGATTCCAGCCTCTACTCGTTACAAATTTATCGGATGCTTTGAAAGGGACAACCAATCGAGTAAAAAGTAGCTTAGACCTATCAAGGGCATGAAGGAATCCGCTACCTTGCACAGTATAGGTATCGAATAACTCTCCCCACCAAGGCTTAGGAAGATAAAAAGATATCACCAACCTTTTATTTACCGATGCTAAGATTCGAACCTTGATATTCCATGATTTTCATCCTACTTTATTGACTATTATGCATCACCCTTCCGTACAAAGTTTTTTTCCAATTTTTTGAATAGTTTATCCGCTCAATTCTTTTTGCTCAATATGTTTTTAATTGTTACCAACTTTAAGAAACTACTTTTTGAGCGCACCTTACTAATTAAGTCCTATTTCTTACTCAAAATGTGTCACTGTTTTTTAAGGACCCATGACAAAAGGCATTCCAACTCTCAAGGCTTCGTATCATTATTCTTCAAACCTGCTCATGACTAGTTTCTATTTGGACCACAGACAAAACAAGCTCTGATCACAACCTTTTGATGAGATTACTGAGGCTTCCCTCTGCTCCTACCGTACTCCAGCTTGATAGTTTCCATCGCCTGTCTAGGATTGAGCCCTGAAATTTGACGGCGGACTTAAAAAGCCATAATGAACATTCCACTTAAAAATGAAAAAACGACTCTCTAAGATTGTGAGTACAGAAGTCGGATTAAAGAATAAAATCAGGACCACCAAGCTAATAGTCCATCAGCATGCTTCTGAATTAAACATGAACATAGAGTAATAAACAGAAGTAGTATTCAGTGCAAGCAAGTAAACAACAGGGTAAAATTCAACAACTCAGTTTCCGCTAGCTTCTAATTCAAAGCTTGCCTCTAGCGAGTCACCACCATTTGGTGCTAAGTCTGAAATTTGATGAAAGAGTACTCATAGTCTTAGTCACCGATCAAGTGGGAACATGTGGTTTTTGACACTCACGCAACTAATCTTCGAATGTAATTTTAAACGCCTACGTACCTCGGTGAAGAGAATCAAGTCACAACGTAGTTCTTGAAGTGATTTTTTTTTTGTTTCCTAACTTTTGTCTAGGCTGCCTCTTTAGAGATTTTCAACCTAGCAAATTTTTTTTTAGAATGTTGTGTACAGTTTATACTCTTGCGGTCAAGAGTGACATATAATTTATGCTTGTACCTTAAGGAGCGTCATCTCGCTTTAAGGGTAGTTGCTCTTCAGGAATTTTGCGTTAATAGGACTGATCCTCATACTATCTACATCAACAAATTAAACTTGTAAGTGCATGCCATTTGAATAGGCTTCTTGTATGATATATGGTCCGTACGTCCCACTTCGAGATGAATTTACCCCCAAACTTATGTGAAGTGATAATGAGTCTTCTTATTGCAAGGATTAAAATTAAAATCTATTGATAATTGAGAGTCAATTAATTCAAGTGATACTTTCGATAGATAATTTATTGGGCAAACAACACAAGCTCACTAGTCTAGCTCTACGACGCTCAATATGTATCGACGCTCAAATGATTCACCGAAGCAACGAGACTGTTGACACCACTCTCATTTCTTTCTATTTATTTTTTCTCAAGCTTCTAAATTAATAAAATATCAAAATACTTTTTTTCACGACTTTTCTTACTACTACGACTATTTAATTTTTGCTATTACTATTATCGTCATTATCACATTTCTATAATTACTAATAAAATTATTTGTTTTATTATTGAAGTTATGGTTTTCTTTTTACACCTCTTTTCATTAACAATGAATTGTCATCACCTTATTTCAAATTTTGTATTTATTAAAGGAAATTAATTATAAGTAGATATTTTGTATCTATATTTTATATTAGCAAAAATTTCATCAATATTTTTAAATTTTGTATATGACTATTAATTGTTGTTAAATAATATATATTGTATTAATTATTAAAATAAAAGCCCAAAATAATTTGTACTAACATCCCAAATCAACATTTTTTCCTAAAATCTCTCTAAATTACCATATTACCCTGATTTAAATATATCCAAATCTATTTAGGGTTAGAATCTTTTCTCCTTTATCTTTTGTAGTGCATGGCCTTCTTATTGTCTTTCTTTGTTCTATTTTTAGAATGTTCCAAACCTAGGGGTGTACATGGCCGGGTTGGTTTGAGTTTTTCAAATATCAAACCAAATCATTATCGGATTTTTAAATTTATAAACCAAATCAAACCAATAAAACTTGGGTTTTTCAACCTCGGGTTTTTTCGGGTTTTTCGGGTTTTTCCGTTAAAGTATTCATACAAACATATAATTTACTTGTATTTCAAATATTTCTTTAGTCCTACCAAAATACAACTATCTAAGATGTTTCTTAAAAATATAACACAATATAATATGATTAATGACACTAAAATATCCAATAAAAATAATAGTAATGAAATCGCGTAAAACAAATATTGCAAATTAACAAGTCATAATGAAAATGATCATAATTTAAAAGTACTAAATCATGCTAAAATTAAGTTTAATAAGTATTAGTTACATGACTAAATATTAAAGAAAATTAAAATTAAATTATGTATTTTAATTGTCTAAACCAATATAAAACTAAAGAACAAATATTCAATATTATTGTCATTCTTAGTGTTGAATTGATTTTCTTTTTGCATTAGTATTAATTTGATTTTGATTTAAGCTTTATTATAATTGCCAACATCTGTGGACTATAATCTTTATTGGCCCATTCATAATTCTAAGTTTCAAACTTGAAATAATATATTAAAAGATAAAAACTATGGAAAAGTATAAGAAATATTTAAAAATTATATCAAAGTAAATATTTTTATGTATAAAATAAAATTTTAAAATTATATATATAATTCGGGTTGGTTTGGTCTTGGGTTGTTTTTTTTTAGTTAAAACCAAACCAACTCAAATGTAGTCGGATTTTTTTTTTCAAAACCAAACCAAGTCAAACTAAACTTCTAGTCGGGTTTTTTTTCGGGTTGACTCGGTTTATGGTTTGGTTCGGTTTTGTACACCCCTATGATTTTCATCCCAAAATCAGAGAAGATTTCACCATTTCAAAGTAAGGTCTCAAGTTTTATACCAAATCACGTGTTGAGATTGACGGATTGTATAATTCGAATGATAAACTTTAAAAAAAATAGGATGAAATATAATTATTAAAAAATAATTAATTTAATATATATGACATACATACTTCATACAATTTTTTCTAGGATACATTATGAAGCAAACCACCTAAACAAATAAGTCTGTTCACGGGCGAGTGTCATCTCGTAATAATAATTATAAGTCAAAAACCTTAGCATATAAAATTATGTATATATATTGGGGTAGCTATAGCTATCTTGAATATCGACCTTCTTCTACTTTTCATTTTCTGGTTGTTGTTTCAGGCAAATTGGTTTCTCAACTACCATTGAGATTTTTGAATTCTGAATGAAGAAGAAATTAAAGAGCAATAAAAGGGATGATAAAAGTAGGGAATTACTTGAAGAATACGGAATTGAATGAGAGAGCAGCTGTTTCTCCCAGGCGTTTGCAGGTTCGGCTTTCTCGTTTTGTGTTGTTAGATATATACAAATGTTTTTTTTTTCTACCGCGTAGCAAGATTTTTTAATCATTTCTATTATATTTGGCATGGAAGTAGAAAAAAAATACTACTCCTATTGATAATTCTTTTACTGATAATACATCAACAAACAACGATGTTCATCTTCGGATTTTGAATTGGTTCAGTTGAAATTATTGAAGTACAAATTAAAGGACAATAACATCAGGGTATTGCTTAAAAAAATCATGTGCATGGATCTTGGAAAAAAGAAACCCCTAAAGAATTAGTAATTTGTTCTTGAATGAGCAAACATAATATGATCGATCTTGACGAACAAATTAAGGCTTTTACAAGAAATTTACAAAAATCCACTACGACGGCAATTTTGAGCCTACGTGACTGACTCAGCATATTGATTTGACACCAATACTTCATAATGATATGGATGTGCAGTATCAATGGCTTTGAAATAGCAGTCAGCTAAGCTTGATCTTATTTAAGGGAATATCGCTCAAATCTTGTAGAACTTCATTTGAAGAATCAAAGATGAGAAAATCAAGAATCATTCTGTATAGACAAATACCATGGTGTCTTAATTTCACCCCACCCCACTTCAATCCAAGCCACCCCACCTGCAATTCAAGTTGTAATTGGTCTCAACTCTCATCTCAGCAACCCAGCAGCAGCAGACTTCTCCATCAAAAATCATCCACCACCGCCACCTGAGTATCAAAGCCATTGATGTTGCACAACCGTATGATTATGAATTAGATCAAATCAATATGCTCAGTCAAGTAAGCTCAAAATTGTCATAGTGGATCTTGGTAACTTTGGCAATTTCTTGCAAAAGCCTTTGTTCGTCGAGGTCATGTTGTGTTTGCCCATTCAAGAATCGATTATTCCCATATTGCTAATTCTTTCTTTAGGGGTTTCTTTTTTCCAAGATCCACGTGATCTTTGTGAGCAACACCCTGGTGTTTTTTTCCTTTGTACTTCAATAATTTCAACATGAATCTGTTCATAGGTCACTACCAATTCAAAGGCTGAAGAGGAACACATTGTTTGTTGATGTTTTATCAGTAAAAGAATTTCCAAAGAACATTTCTCTACAAGTTTTGCCTATCCATTTTGATATTCTTTGTACTCATCCCATGTTAATTTGGACCTGAAAGTGGTAAGAATAGTTGGAAAGGTTTGGCCTTTGTGTTCAAATTGGTGAAGGGAGATCAAGAACAACAAGCGTTGACAAGTTTCTTGATATATTTGAGAAAGAAGGGTGTATGATAAGCTGGCTGCAGATTCACAGTTTCTTACACATACAATGGGGAGGGTGTTAACTTCTCCAACACCTCCTATTAATACTAAAGGGTATGAGAATTTGGTGGAGAATGCTGCTAGTGATAGCTTTGACTTGTACTCTGGGATGTTTATGTACGATAAAAATGCTATGGAGGAGTTGGAAAGACTTGACTTGGCTTTTGAGGCTTTGAAGGAGGAGTTATTTGGGAATTTACATGATTTAACAGTCCCTTCATCGGATGCTATTAAATCTCAGAACAACTGGGGGAATTCTGAATCTTGGTATGTCTGCATTTTTGTTGGTCTGGGATTCAAAGGATGTATTATTAACACAATCTTTAATGTGGCAATTCAATACTAGCAATGTAACTATGGTCTATGCTACAAAAAAAGAAGAAGAAAGTACTAAATATTATTGTATGCCTTGTGATGACATGATGTTGATTAGTTTAATTTATCTTGCAATATTAGGTAACAATACTTTCAGCAGTGGGATAAAAAAAAGTATAAATATTTTGAGGCATAGAACAAGAAACACATGTGATATATCTTAAGATTGAACAAAATAAGCAATAGTTGATCTTTTACGTAATGAGAGTTGAGTTATTTCCTCATGAGTTTGAGACTTCGATACCAAGAAAGATCCTTCCATCACAAATTTCTATATTACAATCAGACATATGGACAAGTTTGTCCCTCTTGTGTGAGTTTTAAACATTTTCTTCTGTTTTCAGTGAGAAAAATAATCTGTTATAGAGCTGAAGCTGAATGTGATTACTGAAACAATAAACAACTTTATGCTGGGAACGAAACGAAAAAACCCCATTGGGACAACGTATAATTTACAACAGGAAATATGACTAGCATGTGTATTGAAATAAACAAAAGTAGATTCCGGCCTCTACTCGTTCCAAATTTATCAGATGCTCTGAAAGGGACAGCCGGGCAGATCATCTTTTTCTCACTCAGATCGCCAAAACCATGCCATATCTAAGAAGCAAAACTATATGAATTCGTATAGTTTCATTATCAAGAACAATTTATACCTCTACAAAATCATCTTTTACTTCTGGTGGAATCTATGTAGATGCTTTATCTTGGTTATGTTTATTCGTGCCCACATTTTCTGCACTTATTAGCTTTTCCGCCTGAAGTCTCTCAAGAAAAGCTTGCTTCTGCAGGATATTCATCATATCCTTAGTTCTATTCTCCTCTCCTTCAAGCTGCATTTTCACTATTGTTTCTGCTTCCATGTTTATTGGCTTGAAATAGTCATCAACAGCAGCCTCCTGAAAGCATTCACCAATTTTTTTTTGAGCAATGAGTCCAAGCCAGAAGATCAGCCAAAGCACCAGGAGTGGCATATAACATCAGCAAAGTAATAAAGTGGACTCTAAAGGCAACTCTAGTACCCTACTACGTATTAAGTTCCTGATACCTTGACGTCACAATACAATTAAGTGAACGAAGAGATGTTAAAATTATGTAAAGCCAGCTTCTAAAAAAATGTACGGAGAGAAACACAGAGTAAACAAGAACACTGTTGGGCACAATGGAAAATCAAAATATGTAAATCATCAAATTAAAGGTCAAACAAAGCCAGAGGAAGTCACTGGAGTAGCAAGTTGAAGATAAATGGTGACATTGATGAAGCAGCACGTGGTAAAGTCCAAGCGTAACAATTACCAGAGACAGCCAAATAGTATAAGCAAGAAATCAATAATGAAGGCTTGAAGGTTTAACAGTACAATTGAGTAAAAAGCAGCTTAGACCTATCAAGGACATCGATCAACTTGGTTCAAGATGCTTGGCTTGAAAGGAGTGCCAACTACCAACACTTTCTCAAATTCAATATACTCAAAAATAACAATTCATTCAAATGAATACATCCGGGAAGAGGCTTCCCTCTAAATCAGGATTTTCAGCCATTAAAAATCAAAATTTGGGACAAACATATCAGGTTTTCATTCAAAATCCAAGGTTTGAATGATGCAAGCTCAATATTAGGTTATCTACGAATTCCCTTCTTTTTTTCTTTTTTTTGAGGAGGGGAGGTAGGGGTAAGTCAGGTTATATGATGTGCAAAAGTGGAATGGTATATTCTCTCTAGACCCAAGAGTTCTCAGAAACTAGGTAAAAAAATTTAATGTGGCCAAAAGCCACAGGTTAGTCTAGGTTCACACCTGAAATTGAGCCAAATTAAGCTTAAGCCAAGAAAAAACTGGTTAGTGCCTCCGCCAGTTGGCTTATTCAATTGCATTCCACTTTCTTCTATGTTCTCCTCTAGAGCTGGGGTTATAAGTTTAGCCTTTAAAAATGGAGTTCTGTGGTCCTAGAAACAATGTTTTGAAACCCACTTTGTGCTCTGAAAGTAGAACGTCTATTTTGTGAAATTCATCAAGCTGCTTCTGTCTGTGCCAGGAGGAAAGGGATACAAGAAATCTAGACTCTCTGAAAAGAGTAACATCTGGAGGAGTGAAAGATAAGAAAAGGGATTCATTTGTTGGAAGTTGGCTACACTGAAGACCAAAAGATATGGAAGCAGTGTTACATAATTTATTATGTAAGATTCTTTCACATGTTTCTGTCCCCTTTTTGTGATAATGGCGGTATCCAGACCAGCTTGCAACCCACCTTGACTTATTTCATCGGGTATCTGCTACTACAAGTACCGAATAACTAAGCCCACCAAAGGCTTAGGTAGATGAGAAGATATCACCATCCTTTTATTTACCGAGCTGGGATCTGAACCTTGATATTCCATGATTTTCATCCTACTTTATTGACCACTAGTCCACACCCTTCAGTGCTAATGTTCTTTCAATTTTTAGAATAGTTTTTCCACTAAATTCTTTTTCCTCAATAAGTTCCTAATTGTTACACCAACTACCAATTCCAAAAAACTAATTTTTGAGCACCTTACAAAGCACTATTTCTTGCTCAAATCTGTCTCTAATTTTTAAGGACCCATGACAAAAGACATTCCTCCCGAGGCTCCATATCTTTTACGTCTTCAAACTAACTGAATGCCTATTGGCAGCTCATGACTAGTATCTTGGAGCACAGACAAAACAAGGCCTCAGAGCCTTCCGATGAGATAACGGAGGGTGATTGTGAGTACATAAGTCGGATCTTCTCAGCAGCAAATGCTATGCTCTAGCTAGTTTTCAAGATGCATTAAGCTTGTTTTCCGAGAACACTCTAAAAACAAATGCATATTAAGATACAGTAAGCATGGATGCAGGAAACTATGCCCAGTGCTCACTTGGAATGCCCTTTATAGTATTGTGGAATAGACCCGAAATTGTCTTCGAGACTTCAAGAATGACCTAACACTACCTCTTTTGCAAATAATACACAGCAATACCCAGGAAAGCAGAACAATATTAAATAATTAAATTAGGGCCACCAAGCTAATCCATCAGCATGCTTCTGAATTAAACACGAACAAAACAGAAGTCTTAAGTGCAAGAAAGTAAACCACAGGTAAAATTCAAGAAAATTGTGAACTCACAGTTTCCTCTAGCTTCTTATTCAAAGCTTGCATCTCTTCCACCATGCGCCTAACTTCTGACAAAATCATTTGTTCAGGAAGCTTCCTTATTGCTACCTTCCTCTCCTCCGCCTGTTCAGACATTACATACGAAGAGAGAGAGACAAAATAATAAGAGTGTCGAACCGAAGAAAACAACTAAATAAAAATCTACCACCAACACTTTTACACTTTTGATCTGTTAACTTTCTTCGGGGTCTCTCTTTACTAATTGTATACCCAAGAAATCATCTAAGTTCCATGCTACGTGCACATGGACAGTTATCTTATATTAGCAGGGAGGGAGAAGTACAGAGTGTTAGCAAAGAGAATCCAAACCCAAGGTATCATGAAGGGTCAAACCAGTTTATAGCCACAAGCATCAACAGCAATTCTTCTATATTTTGGACTGTGTTTGCATATATGAGTTCACTCAAGGTTTATCAAATTCTTTGACATTTCAATAACCAGCAGATCGTCTCTCTAGAAAACTGCTTTCACGCAGAATTTGGAAGAGACCCCTCATTAAAAGAACCTAGATGCTTAATGGAAAACGAAGATTGTGAAGCTGTAACCCAACCTAACAGAAATTTGCATAAACTTTTTGCTATCTGGAATGCTACAACACATTATTCGCCCCAACATTTCTCTCCACAACGCAGAAGTCGAAAGTATGTTCACTAGCTATTTAGATGCCAAAACATTCAATTTGCATATGAATACAAATAGATGCACTGTCCACTACACACTCTAAGTACAACGCAGAAATGAATCGAAAACCATACCATGGTTCCATTGATGATTTGAGTTGGATATATCACATCAAACAAAGCTAGTCTGTGTTGACAACTTATTACTACAGGCAAAATCACATCCTAGACGTTAATTAACCATATTATGCAACAAATAGCAGAGGCCTTCCAAATTTCGTTTTGTTTTCTAATCCAACTCAACAGTCCCAATCGACTACATTTTGGATTAATAAGAAAATGCTGTTAGCTCAAACAAAATACAGCAAATAGTTAACTACACCTCGATCTCAAATTAATTAAGTTCCTTTAATATCTAAATCCGCTTTATTCATAGAATCAGATTTAACAATTAAGAAAGTGAAATGAAAATTGATTGAATGACCTGTTGAAGACGTTGTTGCATCTGCAATCGATAAGATCGGATTCTACGCTCTTCGTAGCCTGAAAGAACCCTAATATAGAACATTGCTTTCTTCCCAAATTCTATAAGCTTCTTCATCTTAGGTAATCAAGCTTCAATTCCCAAAATCACTGGAAACGTGAAATGATCAGCAGCTTTCTTATTTCACCTTTGAAGAACACGATTCATCGTCAAGCTGAAACTGAAGCTGAAGAAATTGCCCCCCTGTATTCTCTATGTATTTGGTGAAAATTCATTTTTTTTTATCAGTAACGTGGGAATATTATAAAATAAAATAAAATAAAAACCAAATATGTTTAACATATTCCACATTTTTTTGTTGTTTTTTTTTTGGTTTGCCCCCTCGGTGTTTCGAGTCCACATTGGAGCTCCAATTAAATTTTGATCGCACAGGATGAAGCTCCAAACAAGATTTTTTTTCATATCTAAGATTCAAACCTGAAACCTTTGGTCAACGTGAAGCAGTACTATCACTGCACCACAGCCCCACGTTGGTAAGGTAGTCCAAATTGAGCATATGCAGTTTAATGCTATTTTCGTTGGTCAAACTTTTGAAATTTATTTTGAAATATATTTTAAAATTTTTTAACTGTTTCTTATAATAAAATAATTTGCTTTTGATTAATTAGTTTAAAAAATATTTTTGGGCAATAATTAATAGGTGTTTGAATAGAAATTTTAAGAGTTTAATTTCAAGTTTTGATTTGAAATCAAACGTCTGTATATGAAATTTACCTAAAATTTCAGGTTCAATTTCAATGTCAAACTATTAAGAAATTGGGTTTCAAATTGTGATTTTATTAATGTAAATCTTGACATATAAATTTATATTTTATAATTAAAAATAACTAAAATTAAGTAACAAAAGCAATCTCATGGCTTTCGCTTTCGTGTCTCTTTAAAAGTGCAATCGTGATAAAATTTTGATTTGTATAATCATCAAGGACATAAATTATGTATATCGTGTGGAAATTTTTATTAAAGAATAACAAAATAATTTGTAATCAAAAATATTTATTTATTAAAAATAGAATTATATGATTTATTAACGTAGTATCTTAGATATTTTTATACCTTATTTATGATTTGCTCTTTTGATATTGTACGAGAATTGAATTTTTTTTAATAGTTTCATAAATTGTAGTATTTTTATGTTTATGAAAATAAATAGGTACAACTTAAGAAATTGAATACATGTTTAAACAACTTTTCAAATTTAAACTACTGTTTCAAATGATGATTTGAAATCATGCCCAAATGCTCCTTTAATTTGTTAAAATCTTTTAAAAATTGATTCTAACTTACTTTTTTAATTATTGAAAATATTAAATCTTGTTATTCATCGGAATAGTTATTTTCCTTCAAGAATCTGGTCAAACACTTCACATTAAAAATAGGTACTTTTGCAGTTTTGCTCTCCCAAAAATTTTGCCAAAACAAGTTATACTCACATATGAACTGGTCATTCCATGATTGGTACAAAGATTATCTTAATTTATAATTAGTTGATTAATAGACGAAAGGGGCAAATATATCCTTAAAGTGAAATAGAGGGAGTATCTAATACATTTCTCAAAGTATTCAATTTAATATATTTAAAGAATGAAGACTAAAGAAAATATAGTAAACAAGTAAAAATGGATAGAAGAAGTACTATGTTATATGTATTAAATAATACTCCCTCATCATAGTTATTCATTGTACTAAAAATTGTTGTCCAATAATACTTGTCCAGGATAATTTACTTTTTGTCTTGTCTATTTTACCTTTGTTATTAAATACTTTATCATCTAAAATATTTTTTAAAATATTAAAATTTAATGAAGTGAAAAGATAAAATAATAATATTATTCTTATTATTTATTATTTCTTAAAAATATGCAAGACCATAGTGAAGAATTATTATTGGATAGAGGGAGTGGAGTATCCTAACCCTACTGTAAAAGCTGCATAAATATCTCTTTGAAATAACAAACAAACTTAGGCGAAATGGTCTGGTAGACCCTTATACATGTATTTGTTTGTATTCTGGACCCTTATACTTATCCTTTTGTCATCTGGACACCTGAACCCATCCAAACCCAACATTTTAAACACATTTTTTGATGTGGCATCCTATGTGGAAAGAATCTACAAGGAGCATGTGAAACGCACAAAACAAGAGCATGAGACACCTTCAAAAGGCAATAACAGTCATATTTTGACCTTTAAAGACAATCTCTTCTTCCTTATTTTCACTCAACACTATTGTTGGACAAATTTGAACTTTTTTTATCCTCTTTTTGTCGATATTGCCTCTTCAATTTTTTTTCTCTTTTATTTTTTCCTTCAATTTACTCATCTTTTTTTTTTGTGTGTGATTCTATTGTATTTTGTTGGTTTGATTTTGTTGGTCTTCACGATGACGGTTCGATGTTGCTACTATGGAACATATGTTGAACTAAAGACATCAAGAACACCAACTAATCCTGGAAGAATGTTTTGGGGTTGCCAAAAATATTCATCTGATAATGGGTGTAGATTTTTTCGATGGGCTGATGCAAATGATTCAACATGTCAAGAACAATACAACATCAAGAATCAATCAACGAGTTCAGGGCAAGGAAGATAAGCAAGACATAGAAGACAAGGATCAAACACTAGTATTGATATCCTTGTTATTGTGATTGTTGTTATTTGGTTTCTAGCTGTTATTTTTAAGATATATTGATTTGTACAAGCTGTTATTTGATAATGAAATTGAATAACAAAGACATTGGCCTGAATAGTTGACTGCATTTGCTTTAGAAATATGAATAGCAACTTCATTCAAACACAAATTCATACAGAAAAACAAAGTCTTCCTAATAACAGAACCAAAACAGTTGGGATCAAGTCATTAATCAAAATAAAGTTAGTTGGGATCAAGCCATTAAGCTAAACAAAGTGAAATCTATGTGTGCCTTGAGTTCTTGGCGTGGCATGAGTGTCTGTTGTGCCTTGAGTGCTTCTGTAACTCTCCTCTCGTAGTTGTCTTTGAGTAACTGCAGCTCTTCCCTTCCACCTTAGTCTATTGGGTTTGTAACCAAGATCAATATTGGTAGGAGTTGAACTTGATAATGTAGCATTATGTAACACCCTATCAGTATTTCCAGACTAAGAGAACAACAAAAATCTTAACGTAAAGATGAACTAATATCAATTAACACAATTAAATGTGTTTAAATGATAAAATGCATACCCTCACAGTTACACTGTCACCTGATCTAAATAAGATATTATAACCAGTTGTCTTTGCTTTTTTTTTTATCTTGATCTCTTATATCCAAGAGTTGCACCACCTCTCAAAGTTGTGCTAATCTTTTTTTTTTGCCAGCTGCACTAAAAGTTGATTGTTGAGTACTTAATGGAGTTGTTGTAGGCTTTCCACAAAATGTTGAGGTAGTTGCGGGCCTCACATCACCTGATATAGCACTGATAGGCTTTCCACCAAATGTTAAGGCAGTTGCAGGCCTCACACCATTTGATAAAGCATTTGTAGGCCTTCTAGCACTTGGACATGCATTTGAACCTGCATTTACACTGGATTGGCTTCCAATTGCAGCATTTGTAAAATCTGAAGTTGCAGTATTTGTTTCAACAGTTGCAGCACTTATTCCAACAGTTGAAGTTCCAACATTTTTCTACAAACATATATTAAAGTCAAAAGTATAACAAAAGTAAAATTCAGTAACATAGAGACATTAAAGCACAACTTACCAGAGTTGGACATCCTTTCTTGTTATGTCCAAAAGTCTTACACACAAAACACTTCATTTTTCTTCCCTTCCTTGTAGCTTTTTCAAACTTCTTCTTAACAGGCTCATCACTATCTTTTCTCCTGGTTTTTCCTGGTCTTCCTGGCATGGCAGTAATTTCAGATGGTTCAATGGTTGGTCTTGTACTTTTTTGGCCACATCTTCATGTTTGTTAAAGGTTGAATAAATCTATTATATGTTTTCATGTATGTTTCCTTCTTATACCAGTGATTAACAAATGACTCAACAACCCAATACTTATAATAAATTGATGTAAATGCATGGCCACAAGAAATTTCCTTTAGTTGCCATGACCTACAACTACACACCTTCATTTTTAGGTCAACAACATGTTTATATGGTGGATCATGAATCTCAAAGCCAAGATCACCATTAAACTTTACCTCACAATATCTGCAATTTCAGCATTTTTTCTAAGAATATCCATAGCCGTTGGTGATACATCAGTAATCCATTTTTCTAAAATTTTTCTCATTTGATTCATTATTTCCTTAATTTTGACTCTTATTTTCTCTAGCATAGTGATTATTGATTTGAACCTACCACTTAAAATCCAACCGTTGAAAGTCTCACACGTGTTGTTCTCAACCATATCACACTTGCTATGTTCTTTAAAAAATGCCTTACACCATGCTTCTTTGTTATACTTTAACAAAGCTTCTACAATGCCTTCTTTTAACTCACTCATGTCATCACGTTTTACTTGTAAAAGTACCTCAAATGATGCCCTGGTAATCTGCCAGAATTTTCTTCTCCTTTCTTCACCCATCCATTATTTTTTCCAGTTTTTTCATATATGGCACACCATCTAATTTCAGCATTTGACAATAATTCAATAAGTGTAAGATGAAGATCCTGTCAAACAAAGAACATTTGACATATAACAATGTTAAATATCAATTACTCCACAAATTAAAAAATAAATTTAACAAATAATATAGTAATACCTTCTACATATCAGACATCACTGTTAGTCTTTTACCTTCTGTAAGCTCCAAATCATGTTTGATGCACTTGAGAAATCAAGACCATGTGTCCTTGGTTTCTTTATCAACTACTTTCCATGTTATAGGGTACATCTGATTATTTCCATCTTTGGAAATGCAAGATAACAGTTCACCTTTATATACACTTTTGAGAAATGCACCATCTAAACCAATAATCCTTCTACACCTTTATTTTCATCCACTTTTTAAAGAATCAAGACAAATATAGATGCTCATAAACACCTATTTTTTTGAAATTGTGTTCTTGGATGTCCTAATAGATACAGTAGTTCCAGGATTTGTGGTCATTAATTCCTCAACATAATCATACAATCTAGCAAGCTCCTCTCTGAAATCTCCCAAATGTTCATTCATAACTCTCAGTTTTGTCTTTCTACAACTTGTCTTATTAACATACAAATCATATTGCTTTTGTATCAAAAACTGAATCTGATGTAGTCTGATGGTAGGCTCACTCATAATCATTTCCTTGTAATGTTTACTAATTCAAATGGGGGTACACAATTTGTTTCTTGTTCTTTAAAACACTTGTGGACAGGAAAATAGGTTTTAACACTGAAATTTTCAGTGTTACCATCAATACTTCCAAGAATATGCCAAGGACAACCCTTTTTCTTACATTTTGCCCTTATATTTTCCTTCTCATTAGGTTTCAACTTAATATTGACACCCTTCTTAATAGAGTAAGTTTGCAGTGCCTCCCTGAACTCAATATGATTCAAAAAATTATATACAATTGAAATAAAACCTTTTTAGTAGTTGGATCAAAGTAGATCTTTGTACTTTCCTTCCTAGGTGCTGGATCTATCACTTCATCATTCTCAACAGGATCCCCTTCATCTTCACTAATGTCACTATCAAGATCTGAGCTATCAAAATAAGGGTCATCACCACCCAAATTGCCTTCAAATCCCCCCTCTTCTCCTTATAAATGTCTTCAAAATCAGCATCTATACCTACAGGATCAGATGGTATCTCATCTAGATTTACTCTATCAGCCTTCTCTTTAACTTGTTCTTGAATGTTAGATTGCCTAGCTTGAAGCAACTCCTTATCCAAATCACTCCAATCATCAATATTTTCATCAACATCATAGAGTGAATCAAAAGCAGAATGTTCTTCAACTCCAGGGGCTTGTTCTTCAACTAAAGGGGACTGCTCTTCAACTATAGGGGACTGATTTTGATTTAAATGTCTATTTTTATTTTCATCAAATGGTTGAGATAAAGACACATCAACCCTATCTATTTGTGGGGAGGATGACAGATCAGCCCAGTTTTTGTGTAGGGAGGAGGACACATCAACATTATCTTTTTGTGTGGGGAGGATGACACATCGGCATTATCTTTTTTGTGGAGAGGAGGACACATTAGCATTATGTCTTTGTGGAGAGGAGGACACATCAGCATTAGTGCTAGGCAATACAAGTATCTCCTCAACAACTAAAGGTATATTAATGGGATGTACAACATATACACCAACAAAATCAGCACCCTTCAAACCATTAAAAAAGTTTAAAACATCAGAATCAATATTTAACATGTAAAAAATACCCTTCTTGTTGATTCTACATCCAAATGTCTCAACATTTTCAACACCCAATTCCAGTGTTATTTTATGAAACAACATAATATGCAACCCATCTACATTTATATTAATCTTTTCAAGACTAGTGATTCCATTGGCATACCTTAAAGTAGGATCAGATACAAAACAACCTCCATAGTGAAATTGAAGTGTCACTATAGTTAAAGCCATTAACTTACGATGCCTGTAAAGTTAAAAGAAAAACAACTATTGTTAAACCATTAACTTACCAAGACTGTAAGATAAAAAGCCCTATTTTTTTTTAAGAAAACAAGGTGTCAAGAATCTTATGTAACAATGGACCACTAATGAATTGTTGTAATTGATATAACAATGGACCACTATCACTAACACTATCAATATCCAAGACAATTGACCAGAAATAAAACATTAATTTTAGTCGAAATTGAGATTTTACGAATAAACCCTAGAATCTACTCGAATTCACGAAATATGCCATTGAAGTCACTTGAAGTCATACATCCACTACGAAAGCATAATACACTGACATTAGACACAAACCAAAGTAAAATCCCCAAAATATTTCAGAAAATCGAATGACAATGACCCTAAAATCAAATAGATATGCACGAAGAAAATGAAAAAAAAAATCAGAACTAATGCAAAAGACAAGAACTTACAATGAAAAATGTAGTGGAACTGAGCTTCAACTAAGCTTCAACTGAGCAAAATCACAGAGAAATCGCGGAGAGGAGAAGGGGAGAGGGGAAAAATCACGATGGTTTTGGAATCGCCTTTGGAATGACGACTATTCTTACTTCATATGAGTCATAGGCTACGTGAAATATAATATTCATATGTGGATTAAAACGTTTTTTTTTTTGCCAACGTGTACGAATTTATGCAACACACATCATATCACATCAAAAAAATGTGTTTAAAATGTTGGGTTTGAATGAATTCAGAGATTCAAGATAACAAAAAAATAAGTAGAAGGGTCCATAATACAAACACATATCAGTACGAGATTTTATCAGACAATTTCGCCAACAAACTTATAGAAAACCACAACATTCTATCAATAATTCATTCTTGGAACCTTAAAAGCACACATACATCCAAACACCGCCGCCTTAATCTTCTCTAGGACGTGCCATGCTAATGAAGACGTAGGAGAAACTTATTTTAAGTATAAAAAATTAAGAGAAACTTTTTTTAATATTATCTTTATTAGCAATATTAATAATAGTATAAATTTTCAAAACATGATTAAAAATTATTTTAGTTAACAATCTAGTGTTACGTAAAAAAGGATAGGTATAGAGGTTATTTCGAGCCAAAAATTCTTCGTACGAAATGTTATTCCTGATTGGATCATATCTAGCACGAATTAGAATAGTTATTACATAAATAGATATATATGTTTTATATGATATAATATATATAGGATACCATATAAAATATAAAAAATGTCACTTGCTCGATTTTATATAAATTTAAATATCTTGTACACATTTAAAAAAATAAAAAGACATACTCTTTCCGTTTCATAAAGAATGATCTAGTTTGACTTGACACGAAGTATCAGAAAATAAAGAAGACTTTTAAATCTTATAATCCTAAATTTAAGTTATGTAGAATGTACAAAATTATCATTTAATCTTGTGATGTTAAATATGTCACGTGAAAAGTTAAAATTAAAATGTTACCAAAAAAAAAAAATCAATCTTTTTTAAGTGAACTAAAAAAAAAAATGAAGAAAATATATAATTGAGCTTCAAAGCGGATACGGATACTAAGACCTTGTTTCGGTTCCCCTAACTGTTTGGCGTGGCGCCTGGCCAGAATTTCAAATCCTTGTAAGACGGACACGTAACTATTTCCTTCCTTCACGTCATCACTCTCTCTCCGGCCACCCTCCATTTTCTCTATCAAAGCTCTCTCTCACACAATTGGAGGAATTATGGGTGAACTCCCCAATCTGAACCCGTTTCAGTAAATTTCCAAATATCACTTCCAGATCTTTCTTTCTGCAAAAAAAAAAAAAAAAAAAAAAAAATATCAGTCCAGAAAATTAGAAATTTGCATTGATTTTTTTTTTATTCTAGTTTTTTTTTTGAGAATGGCAGAGAATAATGAATCAATGAATGCAAACCCACCTGGGATTTTGCTAATTAGAAGCATTAGAAGGAAAGATTGGAGTTTTAAAACGTATAAATATGTAGTTATGTTGATCACATTCATAGCTTATACATCTTACCATGCTTCGAGAAAACCTAGTAGTATTGTGAAGAGTGTTTTACATCCACACCCATTTCTAAACGAAACGGTTACAAATCCATGGCCTATTGGTCCGCTTTTCGTAAAGAGGGAATTTTTGGGCTCTATTGATTTAGGTAAATCAAAAAAGAAAGGTTGGGAACCATTTAATGGAGAGGATGGAACGTCGAAATTGGGGGAAATTGATGTTGCGTTTCTAGCGTGTTATTCGATGGGAATGTATGTAGCTGGACATTTAGGGGATTCATTGGATTTAAGGCTGTTTTTAGCAACTGGGATGATTGGAAGTGGCATTTTTGTAGGGTTATTTGGTATGGGTTATTTTTGGAATATACATGCTTTTTGGTTTTACTTGGTTATGCAAATGGTTGCTGGGTTGTTTCAGGCTACTGGGTGGCCTTCTGTTGTTGCTGTTATTGGAAATTGGTTTGGTAAAAGCAAAAGGGGATTGATTATGGGTATTTGGAATGCTCATACCTCTGTTGGGAATATTAGTGGATCTCTTATGGCTGCTGCTGTTTTGGAATATGGATGGGGTTGGTCTTTTATTGTTCCAGGAGCATTTATATTTTTAGCGGGGATAATGGTGTACTTGTTATTGCCTGCATATCCAGAAGATGTTGGGTTTCCTTGTCCTAATCAGCCATATGTTGAGGATTCATCCAAGATTAACGATGAAGAAGCTCAGACAGTGAAAGAAAATGTGGCTGTAAATGCACAGTTTAATGTCCCTCGGGTTGGTTCGAATAGGACAAGTGTTGGTCTTTGTGATGCTTGTCTCATACCAGGAGTGATTCCATTTGCACTGTGCCTTTTCTTCTCAAAGTTGGTGGCATACACATTTTTGTACTGGTTGCCATTTTACCTTAGTCAAACAGGTATAGCTGCTTACATATATGAATCGTTTGCTGTACTTGGTGCTTTGTGTGTGATATGCTTCTGGCACATTAAAGCTGTGCTAGAAACCCACAGATTGGAGAGACTATCCAAAATGGTGTTACCTAGGTTTGGAGTTAGTTTTCATGACTGTTACTCCCTCCATCCATTTTTACTTGTCCATGTTTCAGTTGCCACACCCCTTAAGAAGTAACAATAAAATGATAAGTTTATTAAATCACCCTTTGAATATAATAGATTCAATGTTTTGGGAAATGACTAGTTAATAATAAGGGTAGTTAGGAACTAAGTGATAAAATATCCCTTGGTTTTTCAAACTAAACAAGTAAAAATGGACATCTATTTATAGTAGAGGAAGTAAAAATGGACGGAGGGAGTACTTTTTCCATTTGCAGGTTCATCTGTAATAATTTTTGTTTGTATAAACAGGAAAGAAGTTTAAAAAAAAAAGTGTTCAAATCTGCATTTCTATTAAATCTCTAAATGTAGTAGTTGTTGCTGCTAACTCTGACTCTTCCTGAGTGGTAAATACACGTTCAGTCTGATTCAGGAGCATGTAGCTGATACGGTGTTGGAGTTGCACTGTAGTCTCTGCTTCTAATGGCAAATCGGGCTAGTGATTCTGTTTTTCTATTTGGTAGCAAACTACTCTACTACATTCTAGTGCACAATGGCTTCTAAACAGACCACCTTAAGTGAGAAACAGGAAAGTACCAAACTAATACACGTTTAAAAATTATTAGAAGGCGCTATCTGAATCTGTTTAAACTTCCAATTATGCAGATGTTAGTTTGAGGGTTCATTAGTTTAAGTAAGACAAGGTGAATGTCTTATAATTTCGGAAGGCTGTGCTTGAGCAAACTGCATTCTTACAAGTAATTTCAGAGCTAGGTTTCTTTAAGTTCCCTGGAGTATCACTGGAAAAGTAGTATTTCTAGTTCAACTTCATAATTCACTTCTTGATAGAAGCTTGTTAGACATGTTTGTTGGTTATATACTTGCTTGATGTTAAATGTTTCTCAGGTGCTAACTACAAAGTAACGGTTCTCCATTTGTTGCAACTGTTCCCCTTAACTTTTAGAAGTAGTGAATATATTAAATGTACCTGAAGAACTTTGAAATACGTAGAATAATTTTTTATTTTATATATATATTATTGTTATTTTTTGTTACTAGTATCAATGTTCATTCTACTTTGAAGATTCATTGTCAGAATTCTTCCCTTTTTTTTTTTGTAAATTTCAAAGTGACGCCATGGTCACGTTGCTCATCTTGGTTCTTGATTATCTCTTTGCAGCTATAGGGGGAGAGTATGTTTCAGTGAAATCTGCTGGGAATCTCTCTGCTCTGTTTGATGTTGGAGGTATAGTTGGTGGAATTCTAGCTGGACATTTGTCTGACAAGCTTGATGCTCGTGCTACTACAGCAGCCAGCTTCATGTATGCAGCGATTCCTTCTATGCTTCTGTATCGCAAATATGGAGGCACATCAAGGCTCATGAACATTTTGCTCATGATGATTGCTGGCTTGTTTGTTAATGGGCCTTATGCACTTATAACAACTGCAGTGTCAGCAGATTTGGGTACTCACAGCTCTTTGAAAGGAGATTCACGAGCACTTGCAACAGTTACTGCCATAATTGATGGTACTGGATCTATGGGTGCTGCTTTAGGTCCTCTTTTGACGGGTTTTCTTTCATCAAAAGGATGGGATGCAGTTTTTATAATGCTTGTTGTTGGTGCACTTAGTGCTGGTCTTCTTCTATCTCGTTTGGTTCTTTCTGAACTTAGTGAGAAGTTCTCTAAGCGCCTAGCCTGTGAGCAACACAATAGCGAAGGTAAGATATATCTCCATTTGTGTGTCTGTTTTTCATTTTGTATTTACTCAACCGTGTCTTCATCCTTATTTCATTTCTCTCTTTTTTTTCTGGGAAAGGTAAGATTTTCTTACTTCATTTCTTCTTGCTCTTTGCAAAGTCCAGTACAAATACATAATTTGTTGATGTGTCAGAGCATATGCATAGCATTTGCTAAAAACATTAGAATTAGAGCAGTAGGATGAAATGAATTAGAAACATTTTCCTTTTTAATCTAGCTCACTCAATACATTGAAAAGATACATGGTGCACTTTGCTCCCCTTCGTTTTAAAATTTTCTTTGGGCTTTTGGGGAAAAAGTATTTTGTCTAGATGTCTTACCAACACCTTTATACCAAGAAACAAAACAAATGACTATTGCTTCATGTCCTGTTTAAGCCTGGTCAATAATTTATCTGGAACAGTGCTTTATTGTTGTCCAGTAAACGGGAAGCAGATAGATAGTACTTTTGATTAGGGTAAAAGAGAAGTCAAAATATTCTGTATGATAAAAGTTATAGTCAAGATATTATAGCTGTATCCTGTATAAGAAAATTTCATGTTCCCAAGTATTCATGGTCTTAGCTTATAGACTACTGGAGTAAATGATAAAATTTATTGGAGTTTGGAAATAGTTATCAAATTTATTAGGCCGTAATCATGCTTTAGATCTCTGTGCAAGTTTGGTGTATTTGGATCAGCACTATGCTATAGCCTTTGCAGTGAAGAATGGAAATTTAAACAACACCATGATGCAGAGTAGTAGTTTAGTCTCAGTTTTATATACTGGTGTTTATGATTATTATATAATCTTTTTGAGTGGGCTATGCAAAATATCTTGCATCAAACAATATCCTCCATCTGTATCATGGATGCACCCAAGGAAAAGAAAATAGCAATATCTTTTTGTTGTGTACTTGATATATCTCCAAGATTTAATTAAAATGCATACTATACTTGCGCAGTCAAGAGCATCAGAATCTGGTTGATGCGAGTGGATGATCTTACTTCAGCAAAAGATTTTGTTTCTTTGTTGTTATTTTTGTTCATTGCCCAGAATCTATTTTCAATAGGAGTTAGAAACTTATGCAAATTGTATCTTAACCCCATCCACCCACCCCCAAAATGAAAAATGGAGCAATTAATGTATAGAATGTGCTATATGCAATACCAATGCATGGAAAAATATTAGGACTCGGAGAATACTGATCTATGTCTCTCCTTGCTTGTGCAGTAATTACAGATATATTAGAGTAGCTTTGTCATCTTTCTTTTTGTGTTCTGAAAATCTGATTACAGAAATATTTTTGGGGTGCTTCATCATTATGTAATATTAATGAAAACTATAAACAAGAACAGCAACAACATATCAAGTGGTGTCTAGGGAGGGTGGTGTATACACAGCCTTACCCTTACTTTGTGAAAGGTAGAGAGGTTATCTATATGACGACTATGAAAAAGTTATTTCAAATAATGAATCCTATCTGCATATCATTTTGCTTCTCATACATTACCACTTACTGTCGTCTGTTTCTGTACATATTTGTAGTTTGAAGCTCCTATAAAGCACCCATAGACATGTTTCAATCCCCACTTTACCTCCATTTGTTTTATGACTTGTTTTAGAACTCTTTAGGAGATTTAAACCTGCAAAATATCATACTGCATCTAAAGAATGCATCTTACTCTGGACTTTCTTGCTTTTAGTTCTATATTGATGTTGGAGAAGATGGATGAACTGACAGCAACAGGGTTTAACCGCTGTTCTTCATCTTTTTGTGATAAAATTTGTAGTTGAAACAACTTTAAACCCCCCCCCCCCCCCCCCACGCACAGGTGTTGCGATCTCCAGAAAATTTTGTAAGTTTAGTAAGCTGGCGCATATGAAATTTTCTGATATATCCTCAGATATTATTTTGTGAGCCGTTGATTTATTCATGTAAAGAGTTTACTATTTCAAAATATTAGTTTCCCTTTTAGAAGATACTGTGTCTAGCTTGTTCACTCTGTTCCTCAATGTAAGTTTGGCTTGTAATTTTCAAAATTATGAACCCTTGTCATCTAAGAAAGTTGCTTCATTTTACAGATTCTGCATCTCAACCCCTTCTAGGAGACCGAAGATGAGGATTTGTTGTGCATGTTTTCTCAAGAAACATAAAGAAATGATGGCAGATACAAGTACTGCCTCTCCGTGAAAACAGAAGCAAAATCTTAGGTATGAAAAAGCCAATGGAATCAGCGGGACTCAACAAGCCACTTTGTCATCAAAATCGCCACTAATGCCTTGAACATGGTTTCTTGGTACATGTCTAAATGAACAAAGGTGCTTCTCTTATGAGGTTTTTCTCTTGTGAAAATCACTGCTTTTTATCTGAGATATATTTAAGGTTTAACGAGACGTGTCTGGTAGTTATGCTGCTGCTGATATTACCTTTCTTCTTATCCCATGAAGCAGAGTTGTAGATAGAATAAAGTGAAGCTAGATTGTTAGATTTAGTAGCACATCACATCCGATGAATATCCTTTGTTTATTAGTCCACTTGTTCCGTATTATCTGTCTATTAAAGTTTTCGCTGCACAAGTCTTACTCATAATAAAATTTGTGTAAACCACCTTTTGTTTCTTCTTAAACGTCTGTCGTGATTAACACTACATTAATTGAACTGGTTATTTGTATTGTTTTTACGAAAATTGATGATCAAGTCTCTCTGGACCTAACGCCTCTGTAGTCTACTAAAGCTCTCTTTCTCCAGAATCAAGAACCACATTTTCTGTAACAAATTCCTGTAAATGTTGTTACAACTTGGTCCTAGTTAGTTCTGCTGCAAATAATCTCAATCTAAGTCTCATGAATTAAGGTAGTGTGCTGGTCATTTAGCACTTAGCTTTGACCTATTTGGCAAAAAATATGAGGGGGTTTTAAGAGGTCGGGCACTCTGTGTCCTTTTCAGTACTCTTTCAATTTCAAAATACGTGCAAGCACGAAAAAAAGATGATGTTCTATTATTGATTCTATCGTTGATAAAATTATGACATATTCGATGAGTGTCCTGCCTTCTCATTTAATGAAAATTTATGGGCCAAATAATCAATTGACTGAAATGCAAAGACACATTCAAACCCCACAGATATTTGTGAGAAAAGTTTTGTTTGGAGAGAAGTTGTATGTCAATTGTTTTTTGAGGAAATATTTTTGAAGAATATTTGTGTTGGTCAACTTGTTTTTTTAATTTGATTCACGTCGGGTTCAATTTCAAGTTCTTGCACGGATTGCCCCTATTTTAGGATGGCCTTTATTTTTTGTCCCTACTTTTCATTTGATGAAAGTTTATGGGCAAAAGTATCCTTGACTGTGATTTAATTTCACAAGACAAAAGTTCCAACATAAATTGTATAGTATCTAATTCGCAAGACAAGTACATGAAGTTGTCCGGCAAAAGGCAAAAGTTCAGTAGAAATAAAACATGCCTTATACCTTTGGGAGTTCTAAAACTGATGCCTTGTGTACATAACTTGTGTCTTGGGAATTTAGCCTTTGCAAAAAAATTTTGCCTGGTAAATCATAATTTTTGTCTTGCAATTTTAATATTTTATACGTCAGTGATATTTTTCAACCACTTTTTGGTTACTTAAAGTGTTCAAGGACAAAAATTAAAAGCCAATCCAAAATAGGGGTACTATGCGAATAACCCGTAATTCATATTCAGTTATAACCCAAGGGTGTGACCTAGTGATCAATGAAGTGGGTTGAGAATCATGAATAGGTTCAAATTTCAGCAGAGATAAATGCACTCGGTTATTTCTTCTCATTTGTTCTAGCTTTGGTGGACAAAATTACCCGGTACGTGTTGTTGTTGGAAGATAACAAGTATCTTGTGTAATTAGTCGAGGTGCATACAAACTGGCCTGTACATCAAGGTTATCATGTACAAACGTGTGTATCAAATTCAATTCCCTTATGATAAGTTGTATGCATTTACAATAGATAATTAAAGGAGTGATCAACCATAACTTTGCAAATAAAAGTCATAGAGTAGACTTGTTAAGTAAAATCAGGACATGGAACCCTTGTTTCAAACATATATATACATATCTCAAAAACCAACACCTCAGATCACAAACTTCCTCTCTTGAGTTTCCTGTAAAAGAGAGTCATGGCTCCTTCATGTGTCATGTTATTGCTCTCCTTTTCCCTTACCTTCCTATCCCTCACTGTTGCTCAAGCACCCACAATGCCACCTTCCAGCATTGTAGCCCCGTCCCCCGGACCCGCGGTGATCACCAAGCCTCCGGTTATGTCACCACCAGCACCAGTGGCATTTCCTCCAACAATGAGCCCTGGTCCATCAGTTAGCATATCACCAACACCTGATATGCCTGCCTCTCCCCCTGCACCCGTGGGACCAGGCCCCGTATCGGGACCTGCTCCTGGACCTTCTGATGGAGATATAACTTCTCCATCAAGTGCTTTTATGCATGGAAGTAGCATGGTTATGGTGGCATTGATTGGGAGTGTATCACTCCTCTTCTAAATTGATGATCATTTGCCTTACCTTCAACATTTTGTGGTCATGTAGACTATAAATAATGTTTATCCGTGTGTATTCTTTATTGCATTTTCATATGTTTTACAGTATTGTTGTTTTTTTCATTTTTGTTGTTTCACTTTGTCCTTTAACGTCGCAATTTATGTGATGTAGTATGACAATTTAAGAAAGATTTTGCTCAAATTAATTAACCATGTTATCCCTTATACTTGTGTCATAATGACAGGACAATTTATCTCAAGTAGATCCCACTTTGCCCCACTTCATTTTGATCATCACTCAATTGGTAATTAATTCTTCTTTCGTTTTCAATTTATGTGATATAATTTGATTGAGTATGAAATTTAAGAAATATGAGAAGAATTTTTAATATATTAAAATTATTTTAAAAATAAATAAATTTATAAGTAGGGGAGTACAGAGACCAAAAAATGAATAAAATATTAATAATATTGTTGAAACAAATTAAAAAGAAAAATATATCATGTAAAATGGAATAGAGATAGTATTTGTTTTGGTTATATCGACTTTCTTCTTTTTGAATCTTCAGGAACGAGTTGGCTTATTTGTTACCTTGATTTTTTTTTGGGTGCAACGTTGAATTTTCTTGAAAACCTACAATTCATAAAATATTTCAAGAAATGACATTTTGAAGGAAAGAAAAGGTTGCATTATAAACAATACCAAGTGATGTATAAAAGTAAGTATCTTTCCTGAAAATATTTCAACATATAAGTTCTCTATATTTCTCTTTGGTTGAACAAAGAGTAGGCTAAGTAGGCAAGGATATAAATTGATATAACATATAATTAAATAAGTTATGACATACGTTTATAATTTTTCAAATCTTTTAATAAGGAAAAGAGCCTGATATATCCCTCGTTATGAAAGTGGATCATAAGTCATATATACTCTACTCTTATATAAATGACTCACATATACCCCTTTCCTCTAACGGAAATGAAAAAATATATTTTTAATTTAATTTTTTAAAAATAACAAAATAATCCATATAGGGGTATATTTGATCATACTCACACATTATTTTTTAAACTTTTTTATTTCAACGACTAATTTTATTATTTTGATAATAAAATTTATTTATGTTTCACTAATTTTCTTGTAAAATTTATTATAGATGCCCAATTTCTTTCACAAATCCAAAAACTAAATTACAATATAGCCACAAAAAATTAGTTTTAAATTATAATATAGACGCAAAAAATTATTTTTTTATACTAAAGAATGAAAGAAAAAATAAAATAAGAATAAAAAACTGAAATAATGATAATAAAAATAATCAAAAAATAATTTATGTATAAAAAAGATTAAAATATACTTTGAACTTTGCTAGAAGGATCAAATATATCCCTACATGAATTTTTTTAGAATTAAAAGTCAAAAAAATTAATTTTTTCAGTTCCGTTAGATGAGGGGTATATGTGAGATCCTTTTGTAACGGTAGGAGTATATGTGAACCATTTGTATAACGATAAGGGTATATATGAGTCACTTTCATAATAAGGAATATATCAACTCAGATGACAAAGTTGATGGGTATATCAGGCCCTTTAATAAATGATATATATAATTTTTTAAAAGGCCGTTTGATAATTCTTACTCAAATTGAGAGGAGATAAAAAGGATATAAAAGTAATTATTTGTCGCTCCAAATAATACACATCTTTGCACTTTTGACATTAACTTGGGTTCTAAATTTGATTTCACTTGTAAATTATACGTAAATCTACAGAAAATAGTAACAAATAATTAGTTAACTTGTGGTACTCCATCCCAAATTCGGTATTTCAAAGTTCATATATTTTTTATTTAAATTTAAAACGTGTGTAGTCAATTATTTTTAAGTCTTAAACTTGTCACATAAGGTATTGAAATTGAAAAACTTACTAAATTTAGATCCATGCATTAGCACGGGGCAGCTTCTTCACTAGCATATAGAGAGAGGGGGAGGAGAGAGATGCATGACATATAGCTAAACAAGAATAGTTGAGTGTTACCAACAAGGGTTGCGGTGTGGTGGTAAGTAGTCATTTATCACCGATAAGGGTTGCAGTGTGGTAAGTAGTCATTTATTCTTAACTAGAGGTCTCGAATTTAGACAAGTTCCAATGTGGGTACCGGACAATGGTTGGGAAACCAAAAAAGTTATATCTGTTTCCAGCAGCATCCTACACATATTTTGGTAAAAGCTAATCCACATGCTTCCTAATTGCATGTAGCAAAAGGCTTTCATACAACAACCAAAAAATAAGGTGCAAATTCACCAAGGTCAAAAAGAGCAGGTCAGTTTCTTGATTTCTGCTTGGATGATGTAGACAAATATGTAAGATATTCTTTTCATTCATCTAATAGAAAAATGTAAAAAGAGAAAGATATCGTATTCAATCATTGTCTTCTCCTTTGTTTTTTACGGCACTCGAAACATTCAGTATTTGGAAACTTACTTTTACTAGAGTAGCTGGTTTGGAGTTTACTGGGCGAGACTTTTAAGTCTTTCACCAGTATCTCGCGTAGCTTTTCATTTTCCTGCATGAGCTCATCAATCGCTTGCTGGTGTTTCAACACCTACGATGCAGCAAATGTATTTTCAATACTTCAAATGTCATATAAACATAGATCATCAATGTAAGTCTACTAGGTTTCAGCAGTGTAAGTCATATTCTGTTTAAGAACATCCTTAATAAGTGGTGTAAACAGTCAAAATGAAAGCTTACCATATGAAGAAGGTTGTTCACAGATCCCAAACGCTCAGACTGCAAATAAAGAAGTACAGGAATTAAAACTAATATATTTTGGTATTAGCAACCTCATATTTGCATCTAACAATTTTGAATCTCATCCTTAGCACGATATACAACAAATACAAGGAGACCTCATAAATTACGCTTAACCTATAGTGTTGTGAGAAATGTGTATTCATCTTCACATACCAGCTCATTTGTTGTACTGTCTTCGCCTTTCACAAGTGGGCTCTGCAAAAAATTGCTAATAACCTTCTCTGTTCGGCTGATATATGATGCATCTGAAGAGCCGACATTAGCTCTTGAAGTGTCATTTTCATTAGAAGAGAGAGAATTTGTGTTTCTATTTGTCAAGTCTGGAGAAGAACTATGTGGAACCTTCACTTCAAGTGGATTGGCAATTCCCAGTGGGTTCTGAATAGAGGCTTCACTGACTGTTTTCATCCCAGCTTGCAAGGATGGTGGAAGGATGCCTTGACCAATAGATAAGCCGGGAGACATTCCAGACTTCATCATTAATTTTGACGTGGCTTGCTGCAGTTTAAGAGAAGTTATGTTAAAACTTAAGTGTGGAAGAGGAGGGGAAATCTTAGATGGTAGCAGGCTAGCAGCACTGAACTACGGAAAAGAATGCATACAATTAAATACAACTGAATCCGCTCCACCACTCCACGCTTCACAGCAAGACCTGACATGCATCACCAAGATTTTGTTATTTAACAAAGGAAATGTTTAGACGAATTCTGCCTAACACAACTTTATAAAATAATGTTTTCATGATTCAGTTATTTCTGTTTCTTTTTTTCTTCCTTTATCTCATTCGCAGAGTCTGTGACCACAATTTAGTAACAAGACACAAGTTTACATTCCAATAAACCCAATTAACCTTGACTAAGGTATCTATAACTCAAACAACTTTCAGTTTCTTGAAACACCTACGGCGACCTGGTCCCTATGAACATGGCACCACTATCACCAAGCAAAGCTATCAAGCACGGGAGATCACTTATCCAGAATCTATCCCACACAAATTCAATCATACACATAGTTCAATATCAATCAGATGAATGACACATGGCACGGTGATAAAATATAGACAAGAGCTAATCATAAGGATAGTATTGTCAATATTTACTCAACGAAACATGAGAAAAGGAGTCCACTAACACATTGCCTCAAACAAGCATGAAAAGGCCAAACTAATTAAGCATTTACTCCAATTTTAGTGTATGCCAGTCAAGCTTATGTTAATCGTTTTATGTTATACTTTCTGAAGGAGAAGAAAGAAAAGAGGGAAAAGTTTACTTTGGGACAGGATAAGTGCCTGGACTTATATCAGGCTTTTAAATCATTTAGCTTTGACTTGTTAGTTTTACTTCTAAAAGTTTCTAAAATACTGACAAGGAGATTTTAATTTAATCATTTAAATTCAAACAATTTCTGTGGTCTATATTATCTTGCACTGAACTTTTGGCAAGTCGGGGTTATCTGTCAAGAAGTAATTTGCAATGTTTTTGCATCTCATCGGCAATCCTACTTGTCATACATAATTACAAACAAGCTTCTTCTTACTTGCTAGTGATGCCAACTTATCAAAGTGGATGAATCCTTTCAATCCGATGGTAAATAATTGTGAGTTGATTTTTTGCTATCTGGCGACACTTCTTTTCTTTAAGCAGCAACTTGGCATAGGCTCTAATCCATAGGGAATGCTAAGCAGAATAATTACTAGGCCGTTGTCTTTCTTCTTTCTTCTGCCATCAGCCAGTCACATTTGTGCAGACTGTGGCATTTCAAATACCTCTTTTCAGAGTCAAATTTTTCCCTTTCGATAAAAAATCCAATGACCACAGAAATGCTCTATCTCACTGTTTTCTGGCAACAAAATAAACCTCAAACCAGCCTAGAAGTTCTTATTTCTACTGTCAGTCATAAGCTATGGAACCTCTTACTTGTCCAACATTATTATTGTTTATTTCTTTTTGCAAGAGATCTTTGAAGTCTTCAGCTCAATCTTCTCCAAGTAAAGAGTGCACACAAAGTGGTTAGGAATATCACAGGAGTTTACCAATTTCCCCACTTCAAAATGAATCATCCTAAATGCAAAACTTAATAGATAACCTTCAACATTTTGTTTAGTTTCTTAACTTTGTCAGCTCACTCGGAAACATTTAGAAGGTTCAATGGTTGTGGAACTCGCTATGTTTTGTTTTTGCTTTGTAATTCAGCATCTACTGGATGCATTTTATCAATGAAATCGTAATTTAGCTGATAGAGAAAAAGAAGAAGAAGAAGATAACCTTTAACAAAAGCAAATATAAGTCTACATACCGACTCCAAAACCATGTCCAAAACCTACTCCACATCCAACGCCAGCTTCAATGCCTTTTGCCCCCACCTTTTTCAACTACAGGAACGACAGAAAGCAATAAGGACCCAGTGAAAGAACAAATATTAAGTAAGGTATATCACAATAATATGTGAACTGTGAAGACAGTTTAACAAATAGACATACAGAATTATTAACATGTCTTCCAACTCCAGAAAATGCATCCGTTGCGCCTCTAGTGGCAGTCATAACTTGATTTAGCATAGGTATTGCACCTAAAAAACAAGATAAAATAGTGAGGAAGGCTCAAAGAGATATCAATCTAAAAGAAGGCAAAGTCCTTTAATTTAGAGTATCTCAAACCATAATCCCATTTGCACTTATATTAAGACAGAAAATCTAAGTGACAAATAACAACCTGAACCAATTCGATCAAATTGATGAATTCCAAATTTTAGATACTAGCAATTCGATAGTCCCAACAATGCAGAAAGGCTGAACAGGATTAATTTGCACTTGACTGCAATACAACAATGTGACTACACAAACGGTAATCTGATAAAACACACTAACTACACCACTCAGACTGCTCAATTGCACATCATTTATATCTAATTATCTATGCATACCATCGTATAACATATCAACATCTCTTGTTTTCAACAGTATTCAACTAAGAGTATCAACCATTTTAGATAGAGTACACTAATTGGTTCTTTCCATGAAAAAGCATCTAAAGGAGCATTAACCCCTAGCCTCCAACTTTGTTATTAGTAACAACCCCCCGCATGATATCTGATCTCTAATGGCCAGAGCTTAAGTACACATACACACTAAGAAATTGATTGCTGAGAATCCTCTCTCAGAATAACCCAGTAAGAACAAACAACAGAAGAGCATCAAGAAGGAGGATTAGCAAGGCTATATAATATGTGCATATCGATTTCAGATATTCCTTAACTCGTGTTCACTTGGTGTTATAAAGCAAGTAATCCATAAACAGAGAACAGTAAATAATTCAATAAAACTAACCAAAATTACATCAAACATCACAAATACAGGCAGGAAAAGTATACCAACCATTACAAACACCTTAAATATTTCAACTTTATGTTTTTACTTCATTAACACACACACCATGGACAAACTTAACACCCAAAAATGAGTTATAGATTATTGTGTTTTAAGTTGGGTTGAAAGTAACCAAAACAATGCAGCATAGCACAAAACATTCAAAATTTGAATACAAACAACATAAAGATCTCATCTTTACACATTCAAGGCATTAATAAACAACAAAACAAAACAAAATTACACCCCCAAAATGAATTACTTGAATTTTTGGGTTCCCCTTCTTTAGGTTTCCAAAAATCTTCAATTTTCATGTTTTTTTCCTCCTCTTTTTTTTTGGTGAATGGGAAGAAATGAGAAGGGTGAAGATGGCTTAGTACCTAGATTTAAAGGGCGGCCAACACCGATTCCAATCCCACAGCCAATGCCAAAGCCAGTAAATACTTGACCAACCTTCAAAGTAAAGGGATTTTCTATTCTGATTCTCCTATCTTCTGTAGTAGCTATCACGCCATTGCTATTACTATTGCTGCTACTTGTACTACTGCCGGTTTCCATTAGAACTGTTTATGTACAATCAGTCTTCAGTCTTGTTCAGCAAAATTCTTCAAATAATCGCAGCTTCTTTCTGCAAGAAAGTAGAAATAAGCATTTATATGTCCCTCTCTTTCCGGTGGATCATGGGTAAGTTCCTGTGCTGCCGAACCATCAGATTGTAGCAACTGCCAAGTCAGTCACCTACATCAGCCCTTTTCATTTTTATCTGAAACAGAAATTTCTTCATGCCTATTTTCCTTTTTTTTAAAATAATAATGAAAGTACTCAAAACGCCAAGAGGTAAATTATTACTTTTATCTCGAACTATTGACGTACTTTATTACTTGACTAACTAAATTTAGACACATTCGCAATTACATCACATAGCAAGTGGTACCAAATTCTAGTAGAGCATAAGTCTCTTAATAAAAAGACGAGATAAATATTGAAAACACCCTAAATTTGGCGAAAATTAGGGTTATATTTCACTCATGTTACAAGATTGTTGGTTATTTAAGTTCAATTAGTCGTAATAATGCTATCAATAGTTCAAATGTGAAACTAATAATTCACATCAAATTTAAAATATTTTCAATACTTCTTTCAAAAAATAATTCCATATCGATTTATTGGATTTGTAATAAATTAAAATATAACCAAACTTATCCATTTTTGTAGATATAAAAAAATACTTATTAAAGATTGTCAGTCTTTTTTAAACTTAAACTTAAACCAAATTAAATCCAAAAAAAAGTTGTCTTTGTTTTGGAGCAAAAATTAAGTTAAATATAATCAAAGCAATATTTAAAACTAGAAGGTGGATGTTCAAAAATTTATATATTTTGAATTCTTAAAAAGTAAAAATTGTTTCACAAAAGTAATAGACGCTAGAAGGAGGGGTTGAACCTCCGACCTTGTGGTTAACAGCCACACGCTCTAACCAACTGAGCTATTCCAGCTTCGTTGCTACAATATTATGTTAATCATGTTTTATCTTAACAATCTCAGAAAAAAACTATTCTCACCGTCGCCGGTAACCATGGCACACCGGCAAACTTTTCCTCAGAAATTTCCATTATGCTCAAACTTCACTGAAGCAAACAAAGAAACCAACCAATTATCTTCATCTGAATTACAGACTCATATGTATCCGTTCCGTTTCAAAGATACAATACCGGGAAAAGCTTGCATTCAAAAAAGGGGTGTAGGGTGGGGTTGGGTTGAGGTCTACGGAGGAAAAATCTTGATGTTTAGTGCATAAAGAGTTAGATTTTGAGTTTTGACACATCGTTAAATGTCGACCACTCGTATTCTTATGGAATACCTACTTGAATTTCTCCTCTTGTCTTCTTCACATTTTCTTTCCACCAACAAACTATTTTCATGGCTTTATCCTCTTCCACTCTGTTGCTTGTGAAATCCCACATCTCTCTTTCTTCTTTTTCGAACCCATCACTTTATTTCAGTAAAAGAACATCTTCAAAAACCCAACTAGGAGGGTCACCAGGTGAAAGCAGAATTCGAGTCAGACGCATTTCTTTATCCATTATAAATGCTCGAGCTGATGATAGAAAAGAAGATATTGTTATTGTCGGGGCTGGAATTGCTGGTCTTGCTACTGCTGTTTCTCTTCAGAGGTTCAGTTCACAAACTCTGCCTCCATTTTTTTTTGTTTTTGGTAGGGGAAGGGGAAATGGGGAGGGAACTATAAGTTGCGGGAATCAAACGCTAACTAACAAGGTGAAAGTTTAGGTAGTCAAACTAACTGGCTGAGCTACTTGATTCACAAATAATAAAATATGTGCCTCCATGATAGCTGTTATTACAACCAATTAATTAATCAGTTAGTTTTAATAACAAACTAGCTAATTTGGTCTACTCAGCTTCTCTACCTCCATAAAGATAGTGGTAAGGTTTATGTACACCCTATCCTCCTCAAACTTCACTTGTGAGATTACACTAGGTTTGTTGTTGGTGTCTATGAATTTTCTATATCCATTTTGTTCTATTGCTGTTACAATGATTACTTTTTTATTTATTTTTTTGCGAAATTGAGAAGTTTGATGAATGTGATTTAGGCTGGGTATTAGAACATTGGTACTTGAGCAGGGTGAATCATTGAGGACCGGAGGAACCTCGCTAACACTTTTTAAAAATGGATGGAAGGCATTGGATGCTATTGGAGTTGGCAATGATCTCAGGAGTCAGTTTCTTGAAATTCAAGGGTATGTTGTTTCACTTGAACTCCTTGTTCATACATTTGCTTAAACATCTACCTATATATTGGCTGTTCCTATGGGGCTTAGAGAACAGCTAGTTAAGTAAGCGTACACTACACTAGCAGAGATCTTTTTATATCTAGTGTATAGAACCAGAGCTGAACTTCACGAGTGACTAGTGATTACTGTTTAGAATTTGCAGATAACAGAGTGTAGGGAAATAACACTTTCTAGTGTGACATATCAGATTACATAATACTGCATACTTAAACGGATTACTCCCAAGATTAGTGAGAGGTCTTTTAGTGGCTTACGTAGAAGAACCTCTCTGTTGTCTTCTCTTTCTTCATTTATTAGTGTGCTTCTGGAGGTTTCTGGTGCTGATACTGAAATCATGCGGAAGATGCTTCTCTTGGTTAATGATTTCCTTGGGTATCTGTTTAGGCATTAGTGGTTCAATTTTTAATAAGGAGTAGCTTGCAATTTGTTTATCTAAAAACCATGCACATATGCTTCTCATAGCTTCTTCTTTCTATTTGTATCAAAAAATCACTGGTTTATATTTGAAGAATATCCCGGGATTCGCAGGATGGCGATAAAATCAGAAGATGGAAGAGAACTGCGCTCTTTCAGGTTCAAAGATGAGGATGAAAGGTATAGTCCTCTCTCATTGTTGTGCTTCATGGGAATTTATTATAAAATTCTTATCCTTTTCTCCATTGATCCCACGAAAATGGAGTAGTCAAGAAGTCCGTGCTGTGGAGAGAAGAGTCCTACTGGAAACACTTGCCAGTAGGCTACCACCAGATGCTATTTCTTTTTCCTCAAAGCTGGCAAACATTGAAAGAAGTGAAAATGGTGAAACCTTGTTGGAACTTGATGATGGTATTCGGATATCTGCCAAGGTACGTAGTTAGATGTGCTCTTGAGTTGTCTGTTTGCAGGGTTTCCGTGGTGCTTGTTCTCATTTGTCTGATTATATCTCCTTTAATTAGCAATAATGTAAAATTAGTATTGCCAAAAACATTATTTTCTAATTCAACTGGACAAGGGAAGCTGTAAAATGCTTAATCTAATTTCTTGTTCACTATTTTGATGATTCTCATTTTGTAGCTGTAAGATTTATTCAAAATATTACCAAGTGGACTTATTTCTCATGCTTGCCCTGCTTCTTGAACTTCATCTCTGTACAGATATTGATCGCTTGTGATGGGATTCGGTCACCAGTGGCCAAGTTGATGGGGTTTCCAGAGCCTAACTATGTGGGACATTGTGCATTTCGAGGCCTAGCATATTTCCCTGAAGGACAGCCATTTGAACCAAAAGTAAACTACATCTATGGAAAAGGAGTGCGTGCTGGATATGTTCCTGTATCTGAAACCAAAGTCTATTGGTTTATCTGCTACAATAGCTCGTCACCAGGTTTGTGTTTCATAACAGCTGTCTGTTCTATTTCTTTCTCTTTAGTATTCATGACAGACGCAAGAATGCTTTTACATCAACTACTTACTTGTCTTGTCTCTATACCCCTTAGAACTTGATAAGCCAATCAAAATATTGCGCCTCAACAAGAAAGATGAGGTTGGCTATATGATTCACTGTCCATGTCATGTACTGTGAGAATTCATCATAAATTGACTAATTTCATTCTGGTTGTCAACCCACCGCAACTTCTCCCTTTATCGGGGTTTGGTACTGACAATATGAGAAAACTCACCAAACAGAATTAGAACTTGACATGTCCATGCTCCTAGTAAATTGGAGGCAGGAACGAACGTCCATGTGCACATGATAGTGTCTGTTTTCTTTCATGAGGACATGTTATTTGACAGCAATGTCCACTTCGATTAGATTCTCACTAGCTGAAAACTTCTATTCCTCCCATGCAACTCTCTGTAGGTGGACTTATAATGCTACCTTCTAAATAAAGTTGAAAGACGACCTACAAAAATTCTCTATTATCTTTTTCTATTACTCATCATCTTAAGTGTTTTGAATATCTATCGACAGGTCCAAAGATAACAGATCCATCTATTTTGAGACAACAGGCTGAACAACTCGTTAGAAATTGGCCAACCGAACTAATAAACCTCATCAATCTTACACCAGACGACACAATCATAAGAACCAGCTTAGTAGATAGATGGCTTTGGCCCTCAATAAGTCCTCCAGCCTCTACTGGCAGTATTGTGCTGGTTGGCGATGCATGGCACCCAATGACACCAAATCTCGGTCAAGGTGCTTGTTGTGCACTTGAAGATTCAATAGTTTTGACAAAAAAACTTGCAGAAGCAATCAAGTCTAAACGTACTTCAGTCGAGGACGCATTCAAAGCATATGGAAATGAAAGATGGCCCCGTATATTTCCATTAACAGTACGTGCATACCTTGTAGGTGCACTATTACAGTGGGATAATCCAGTTATATGTGCCCTTAGGGATAACATTGTTGTACCTAAGCTGGTTAGGCTTGGACCAGTTCTGGAGCATACTAATTTTGAATTTGACCCTCTATAACAAACATAGAAATTTAGTTGCTGGGTTAGCATCGGCAAATATTATTTATACTTAATTGAGGTGTGCATCAAAAGTACAAACGTTGCTGTTTGTTATTATACATACTGCACAAAGTTCCTTCTTACACTTTAATGTCAATTACATCTCGTTGATATCACATATGGTCACTCAACTAATATTTATCATATTATAAAGTTATAACCTTTCTTTATTCGTTCACTTTTATTTATCATATTTGCATTTGACACACTCGTTAAAAAATTAATGATTATTTTATCACATTATTCCTCTTAATTAATGTTTAATTTAATATCATGTCTTGGAAAATAATTTTAAAAATAAATAATTAATACTAAAAATAAAACATAAAAATAAGTAATTACGTTTTCTTAATATGTTAAAATAAAAATAAAAATTTATTTCTTAAAAATAAATGAGAAGCATGAATGAATTTATTTTAAAATTATTTGTGCAACCATACTTATCATTTTCTCCCTCTGGTCCTAATTACTTTTGTCTAGTTTTCTTTTTTTTTAGTTGTTTCTAATTACTTGTTCATTTTGACAAATCAAAATAGGACAAAAAAAAAATTACCTCTTATATCCTCAATTAATTACTTTGAAAAATGTAGAACTTCTTGAAAATCTTAAGTTTTAAATTCATTCATTTCATAATTAATAGGGGCAAAATGATAAACTCACTATATCAATCATTATTTTCTTAATAGATATGTCAATTCGTTTTACACGATGCATTAATCTAAGAGACCATTGAACATTAGTTGAGGGAATAGTATTTGACGGGATCTTTTTCCTCTTCTTTGAAGATATCACTCACGCGCTATTACTACTTTCAATACAACTAAAAGTACACTCGTGTATGAGGCATCTACGAAATTACCGGCTCAGCCACCTTTTAAAGTTTCGTCAAATGACCGAATTATCCTTTATGAGGCATCTATGAAAAAACATAAATTTATTTTCAAGAATCAAAACACAAACATTTCAAAATATTTTCAATCATGTTTCCTCCATATAGAGCTATAAATTTGGAAAATTAAAGAAACTTCCATTGACTAATTTAAAACCATGAATATTGTCCCTTCAACCTCATATTTTTGTATCAATTTGCAAAGGCTTTAAATATTTGTACTGATTTTCACTTGAGTATACTTAAAAAAAAGGATCCACAATTTTGAGATGTTAGGCTAAGTATTTTATTAAGATTTTAAAGTACTATTTAGAAGATGAAAATAAAAGTAATAAATATAAGCTCAAATCTTATTTATTTTTTAAAAATTTACCGAATGGAACACATGTAATCCAAACACCACACTGTTTGATCCAAAATAATTTCTAACTATTTTATATTCATATAGCCTAACTTAACAATGTTGCCACTAAGTTTTTAAAAAAAAATTATTCTCATCTTTTTATATATTTAACGAGAAAATAGTGACTATCCATTGAGCGAGATTCACTAGGATTTAGGGTGTGTTTGGTACGAAGGAAAATGTTTTTTCTGGGAAACAGGTATATTTTTGACTTATTTTCTCATGTTTGATTGGTGAGTAGAAAATATTTTTCGAAAATTGTTTTTTAGAGTTTAGTTTATGAATAATTTATTTTTTTTTTGAGAAAATATCTTTTATTTTTACTAGAGAGTAGAAAATAATTTTTGAATTGAAATTGAAAATATATTTTAAAAATAAAGTTAAAATTTTTTTGGGTGGGGTGGGCTGGTGTGGGGGGGCGGGGGAGCGATAGGGTAAAAAAATAAAAATTTGAAATTAAAAATATTTTTTAAAAACAAACTTAAAAAATTTTTTGGAGGGGGTGGGGGGCTGATTGGGGAAGGGGGTAGGCGTGGGGTGGGGGTGAAAAAATAAAAATTGAAAATATTTTTTAAAAACAAATTTGATTTTTTTTTTTTGGGGGGGGGGGGTAGTGGGGGTTGGGGCTGGGGCTGGCGGGTTGGGGTGAAAAATAAAAATTTAAATTGAAAGTAATTTTTAAAAACAAACTTAAATTTTATTTTTTTGGGGGGTCGAAGGTAGTGGTGGGGTGGGGTGAAAATAAATTTTTGAAATTGGTAATATTTCTTGAAATCAAATTTTAAATTTTTTTTTGGGGGGGAGAGGGGGGGGGGGTCAAGGGTAGGGATGGGGTGAAAATAAAAATTTGAAATAACTTTAATTTTTTTTTTTGGGGGGGGGGGGGGGGCTGGGGGAGTCAAGAGTAGGGGTGGGATGGGGTGAAAATAAAAATTTGAAATTGAAAATATTTTTTAAAAACAAACTTCAATTTTTTTTGGGGGATGGTAGGGGACTAGCTAGGGAAGGGGGGAGGGTGAAGGGTGAGGGTGGGGTTAAAAAAAAAATTGAAGTTGAAAAATATTTTCTTAAAATAAGCTTTAAATTTATTTTTTAATAAAAAATTTGATTTTTTTCAACCAAAAATTGTAATTTGAAGTTGGAAGAAAGTTTTGGAAAATATTTTCCTTAATTTTTTAAGGAAAGTCATTTTCCTTAAATTTGAGGAAAATGAGTTGATTTGGAAAACATTTAACCCAACCAAACATGAGAAAATTGGAAAACATTTCATACCAAGCACACTGTTAGTGTCAACACCAAATAAAATAGGGAAAAATGACAAATATATCCCCGAACTATCGTAAATGGTATGTGGATACCCTCTGTTATACTTTTGGGACATTGGTGCTCCTACCGTTAAAAAACTAGAGCATATATACCCTTTATACTAACGGACATACACGTGTCATAATCTTATCCACCAATCTGACATTTATTAAATATCGGATCAACGGATAAGATTGCGCCATGTGTCCCTATTTAGTCTTTCGCTAGAGTGAATGGCATATATGCTTTAGTTTTTTAACAGCAAGGGCACCAATGTCCCAAAAGTATGACGGAGGGTATCTGCTTACCATTTACGATAGTTCGACAATATTTTTGTCATTTTCCAATAAAATATTGGACAATATATCATTTAATCTATATTATGCATATATCTTTATTCGATAACTTAATTTCATATTTATTCTCATCACAAACTTTATACTCCCTCCGTCCACTTTTATTTGTCATGTTAAGTTTTTTTATAGTCAATTTAATTAATTTTTAAAGTCAAATAAAATTACATTAATTCGATATTTTAAACAAAAAATTTAGATATTTAAAAACTATACAAAAAGTACTATAAATTGCAATTTTTTGCATATCAATATGATGAAAAAATACATGTAACATATTAATCAAAGTTTTTATAGTTTGATTGTAAAAAAGGAAACCATGACAATTAAAAGTGGACGGAGGTAGTAATAATTAGTAAAATATAAGTGGGTGCAATCCAAGTCATGATAAAATTGAAGTCATCGGCGAAAAAGGACTAGAGAAGCCCATTTCTGTAATTGTACACGATTTTGTATTCCACGTGGAATGCATTCCTTTTAATTGCAAATTATTTTAGACTCTCTCCTCTTTGTCGGCGACTGTTGTGATTCTCTGATCAGTTTCTCTGCCGAAAAATCTGAAATATTTGTAGAATTTGCAGCTTCCTTCTTCTTCTCCGGTTGATCGTTCTCATACGTTTAGCAGTCATGAATCCCGAATAGTAAGTAGCATCTTCCTCTTACATTTGTTTTCTGCAAAATAATCAGAATTTTCCTTTATTGTTGGTTGAGCGAATACTCTGAATCTGTGAATCATGATTATTGATCGATTTCAGTAATATACTTTATCGGATTTGTTCATTGGAGTTCAGTTGAACTCCTTGCATTTTGTCTTCAGAGATTTAACTAAGTAGTAGAAGTGTCGATACCTTATTGTTTCGGAAGTCAGCATCTGGCATCCGTGCAGTTTTATTGCTTTATAAGGGAAGCTAACAGTGTTAACTAATCATCACTTGTAAAAATTTAAGCGTAACTAAGCCAATAGAGCCAAGGAGATATCAGAAACAACGTCTCTATCTCTGAGGTACGGGTAAGGTCTGAGTACACTCTCACCTCCACAGACCTCACTTTGTGGGACTACACTTGGTATGTTCTTGTTGCTTAACTTAACAATAAGCATGCCTACCAAACCTCGCTATCAAGAAAGAAGAAACCTAAGAAGATTTAGAAAGATGAAGAAATAGAGAAAAGGAAGGGGAGGCTGGGAGGTTGAAGGATTAGTATGCATCTGATCCCCCCAAAGAAAAGATGAGAGGTTCAATTAAAAGAAGAAACTATCCAACTTATCTCTAAAATTAAACCAGAAAGCTACGTTCATAGTTTTTCCTTTTGTCAATTTCACCCATCTTTTTGGTTTATAGTTGGGTTCTCCAGCTAATTTTTCTTTCAACTAAGCTAAAATTCTCTTTCAAAATATTGATTTCTTAGCTTAATTATGTATTTTTTTCAAGGTTCAAATAGCAGTTCTAGTTAAGTAGAGGGATGTTTTGATTTAACTGTTTAGAACTCTTGTTCAAGTGCAATCAGCTCTTTTCTTTGGTCAAATAGTAGTGGAATATCTGTTATTTACGAAGGCTGGGATCTTAATTTTGAGTAAACAAATATCTCTAAATACTATAGAGTAATACCTTCTGGTCATTTTTGTTGCTCTTGATAAAATATTGCGATGTAATTTTTTTGGTTTAAGTTGTAGCAGTATAAAACTTCTGATTAATAATTTTGTGCAAGCTTCCAAGCTTTAGATGTTTTGTGTAGATTGACTTGTAAGATTTAAGGCATGTGCTAACATGATATTCCTGAAGCTTGACATACACCTGAATTAATATCTAAATATTGGCAACAGTTCAACCATCATGGGTGGCCGGTGGATTATGTTAGTTTTGGCGAGTTACTAGATATTAATCGCACTGTCTCAATCTGAAAAACCTCTTAGACATTACGCTCTCTGTTCTGAATTGTTTTTGGGAGCAAATTCTCTTTAACTTCGAGCAGCGTTTTTCAGGCAATTCTTAAGCACTTGTAATAACTCTATTTTAGTTTTTAGACTTCAA